AAATGGCTTAACATGTCAACTATTGTAAAACATTATCATTTTATACACAGCAATGTATCGTCATAAGTTAAAAATACGTGAAAAATATTGCAGAAATTTTGGTTCAGCTATTATTTATATATGAAGTTTTAAATTTAATTAATTTAACATGCACCTATGTAGTGAGATGTTACAATTCTCATTTCACAAACAGCTAAATAGCACATATTTTACAATTTACAGATTTTAGCATTAATATTGATCTGCAAATTTCGTATCTAATGAAAATAGTCTACAATATTCACAATTGTAAGGTTGATTTTCCAATGGCAAGATGAAGGTAGAAAATCTGATATTCCTGACAAACATGGCTTTTAAATGTTCAGTTAGAAAATCACTTTTTTTGTCTAACCTCTCTTTGCCAAGGGAAAACTACCTTTATTACAGCATATAATAAGATACAAGAAGCAGTGCACAGTGATGGCACAGTACAACAGTTCTACAACAATACATGGGCGGACAACGTTACATAGTTAAGGCACCATCGCTCTTATTAACATGGCTCGTTTTGAAATCATATGTCTTATTATTATTAGCAAAAGGTTGATTTTATGTATGCTGAGTGCTACATTGAAAGAATTAATTATATGTGGAATTTCAACGGCTAAGACAATATTTAATGCTTTAAAAAATAATGTTTACATTTACTCAAAAATTAAACTATCAAAAAATAAACCACGATTCCTGTAAAATGTAAGTAAATAAAGAAACAACTCCAAAACGAGCCATTAAATAAAAAAGTCTTATATGATAATGAGTAATTATTTGATTTTAATATTAATAATAATTATATTGTGAGCATTAAATATACATAAGCATTCCCTATCGGATTCAGAGTTACAGTGATAATTTATTACAATATTTTATTCATACTATAAATACTAAATATCCGAATTTTACGTCCACATTCTCAAACAACAACAACAACCTGTCACTTTGACAGCTAAATGAAATTGACAGAGACATCTAAACTGTAGTTGCGTTTGAGAATTCGACCGTAAGTAGTAATTACATGAATAATAATAATTGCTATACTATTTATTGTTCGTAAATATATGTATTGGTTTTGATTTTGTTCTTTTTGGATCTGAAATATTATCATTTTTGTAATAAACATGATTACAGTCTGTCTTGTCTAACGTAAATCAACTTGCCTAATATTCTTCAGAGAGGTAAGCGGCACTGAACAATTTCTCATAAATTCTATTGTTAAACTCTAAGTAATATGAGTGAAATTTAACATTGATTACAACGGCATTATACAAGGATAGGTTTTATAGTCAATAAATACCAATTTTCCATTTTAATATTACTTCAGATGCAAAAAGAACCACAACTATAGAAGCTTAAGTTTAAATAAACTAACAATTACAATAACCGATTCTACTTATCTCCAATTTGGTATGCGTCTTATTTGTAGTTAAATAAATTAGTTAAAATCAGTCTAATGCGATGAAGTCGGTGGTTAATGGGCTCGAAAAAGTTAAAACGTTAATGGGGGATAACTATCTGAAAACATATTATAATATAATAATTAATTAATAATAAAAAAGATAAATACACGACCAGAACAATAAAAAACAGTGCCATGTGAATAAAAATTATTATAGAACAATATTTTTAACTGGCAACATAACAATTAGTGTAATAAAATGGCGTCTTATGATTTTAATATACATAATGATACATAACACAGAATATCCAAAAAGTCAATATCGTTGGTCAGTGTTAATTTCAACGCAAATGAGGATGAGTCTTTTCCATACACCATACACAATTACGAACTTCTAGATACTAACATGTTATTTTCTCTGTTTACACTACTGATGCATATTCAATAATAAAAATAATATGTGATGTATAATAAAATTAATCATAATTGTAATAATTTACCAAACGATACTCAATATGAAATTCTAACAAAACATCTGTCAGTTACAGACAGACAGAAATATTTTTTGACATTTCAAAATAGATTGACGATTGAGTCTTTGAGTATTCGGTCGAAACTTTTACTAATAAATACTTTATTACTATCCAAGAAAACATAACATGAACTTTAGCTAATTTATATGCCAATTCAGATAAACAAAATGGGTTAAGTATAAAATATATAAATTAATCTAATTTCAAGTTTATGACTGCACATAATATTTATAATAATAATAATTATATTTATATTATAATCATAATAATAAGTACAGTTAATAGATAACAACTACAATATACATAAAAATGGCGGACAATTACAAATCGGTTAATAAATCACTCGTGTTAGATAACGTAACTAGACAACACAAACAAAATGTTAGAATAGAGAGCAAAAAGTACAATCACACACAAAACACTTAACTATATTATTAAATTCGTTATTTAAATAATAATAATAACACAAAACATCACAATCACATGAGCCAGTTATTTCAATTTTAAGACGGAATTTTTCGAGCAAGCGATCGCTTTTTTAACAAACAAGTATGTATACTAAACGATTTTTTATATCTGTGTATTTTAAAACTAAAATTTCGCTTAATCATTAAGGAAAACAAACGTTTGTTTGAGCAAAACGTCGTTCGAAACTATTGTAATAAATTGTTCAATAAATTTTCAGCTTTAGAACAATTAATTAAAATAATAATCGCCGGAATCGTCTTGTATACGAACGAGAATCGTAGTTTGTTTAGTTAAACATACAGAACAAACTTCACTAATTGATATAGACGCGAAATATTCCCAGAATGCCGTAATCGATCAATTAATTAACACACAAACAACAATAATGAACGCAATAAGGATATCCAAACGAACTTTTAATTGCTTCAGCGAAGTTTACTCGTATTTATTTCTAATTTAATTTGGAAATTTATGCTTTTACTTGAAAATATTTTATTATTATTTGTTCAATTGTTGGGAATTAGTTCGTAACCGCCCCTAAGAGTTGGTGTTCACTCAGAGGCCTTAGTACGTTTTACGTTTAACTCTTTCAGTCACACTTAAAAACCAATGCAAACTAATTTGAAGCATACTTCAAAAATTGATCTAAGAAAAGGTGGTAGTTGCAGTGACCACCAAGACTGAAAGAGTTAAAAGGTTTTTACGTTTTGGCCAGCACCAATGAACCAACCAATCAGAGGCCTTAGTACGAGTTAGTCTTACGTTTAAAGTAATCGAAACGAGTATGCGTTCGACGCTCTGATTGGTTGGTTCATTAGAGCCGGTTAATCACAGCGCCGAACGCGTACTCGTTACGAATACTTTAAACGTAAATTAAACTCGTAATAAGGCCACAGAGTGCCAAGCACGAATGATTATCGCATTCGTAACGTAATAGTATCGAGAGCGTTCGGCGCTCTGATTGGCCGGCTCAAGTGAACCAACCAATCAGAACGCTTAACTCGGTCGATACTGTTACGATACGAATGCGATAGTTATTCGTGCTTGGCCCTCTGATGTGTAGGTACATCTGAGTGAACACCAAATAGACCAGCTTGGAGTAACCTTGGTGGAAACTTGGCTTCCCTCGTGGCTATCTGACCCCAAGAAGAAGTAATTTAAGTAGATATGTACGTCTTCTTATTTTATACGCGTCTACTTAACAAACACGTCATTAAAAGTAAAAATATCGGTTGATAACAGTTTCAATAAGCATTTTCATCTCTACACACGAAAACCCGTGAAAATCATTGGCACACAAACGGTGCTGACTTATAGCAAATATTAAAACGCTTTAATGTAAAGGTGTGAAAAGGCAATTGGTCGAAAATTGCAAACATCAACAGCCGTGCATCAAGTTTGTAAATAAGAGCTGATTGCTAGACAAACGGTAATGTAATAATGTTATTGTGTTTGTAGTCATTAAATAATCGCGACAATAATGTTCGGTAATCTGTTGGGCAAATTGTCAAAATGACATAACTATTATACCAAAGTGACGAGACTGTTAGCGCGTATGTTTATACGATTTTGCAGGGACAGCTAAAACATAATCAATAATTTTTATTAATAAAAAATATTTATTAAATTAAAACATTTTTATCGTGACTGTACTTTCAATTTGGTCAATTTGCGTAGTCAAATCGTACTTAGTGTAATTTAATTTAAATTTAAAATGTTAAGTACAATTAAAATGGAATATATTTTTATTTACGAGACCAATGCACAAAGGTAACAAGTAACAATGGGTGAGCACACAACACTATCAATTACAATAATAGACATAGAGTATATTTTGCAATGAAATATTATTAAAATGTGATGTAGCAAATTGAGCACCAATATTAATATATATTGTAAGAGGAACTGTAAAAGCACATGAAACTACCCCAATTGTCAGACGACTTTCGACTTTAATGCAATTAACCATTAGGTGGAAAATTAATTAAGAAATTTTACAAAGATGTAATAGTGTTGTACAGTCGACGAATGTATGGGGTATCCAGGCTAAATATTTAAGCTCTCATTTCATAGTAGTACGCTTGTTATAAAGTGTACATATTAAATTATGTGTGTAGGTAAGGCATAAAATATGAAATATTGCTTTTATTTTCTGTATGTGTAAGCATTTTATTGTTAACTGTACCTTAAAACATTAGTACTGATTTTCATTATTAAAATTATTCGTGTCTTTAACTGAATTTCGATATATTTACCATAGTAAAACTAGAATAAAATAAATCACAAAATAAGCACGAAATAAAGTTGGATTTTATCAAAAACAAACTAAAAAAGGGTTAACACGGGCCTTAAATAATCAATTCCAGTAATTGAGATTCCAAATTCAACACACAATGTCTAAAAAAAGTGCAGAACACACTTACGCTAACGGAAACACTTCACCACAGATTAAATTTTAAACATAGGCGTAATCTAGAACTACTAAAGTCCGTTCAGGTAAACTTATACATTATAGACCAGAATAGATCAGCGACGATACAAACGGTCGCATTTGCGATCTCCATTCGCTACAAATCGGTAACAGGGGGCCAATTCTCGGCTTTAGAGATGATGTCGAACTCGACAAAAATGTCTAATGACGTCATTTTTTCGTCAAATTTTAAAAGTTGCTATTCTGGAGATGTCGAATGCGACATTTGTCGAAGGTTAACGTTAGAGTTCATGTCGAGTGCTTCTGAGCAGTAGAGATGGCATGTCGATTGTAGAGATACTGAGATACGCCATTTCTGTGAATTCGTTGAGTTTCGAATTGTACAGTGTTTTCTTTTCTTTCGTTTTAAAGTAAAATACGGCTTGGCATCTTATAAGTATGAACATTGGAAATTCAGTATAGACTCTTCAATTTGTGTATTGTGTTTTCTTGAAACGACGACCTTCGCGTAAATAATGGTCTTTAATTTGTGTACCCACGATTGGACTTGAAACTTGAAACATGGACGAGTTTATTAATATTTTTATCTTGGAGATGTTGGAAAGTGGCGAGCGACTGGCCAATACACGGCGGCAACAGCGCACCTATCCCGTCGTCGGGATAAGTTGGGCACTAGGGTATTTTTTCTCTCCCTGCATATTAAAACGAAAATTATAAAATGTCCAACAGAATAGCCCACTAGTGAGTAATGATGAACTTATAAAAGTTTTGAAACAACCGCTTACAGATCCAAATTGTGACACTGACAGACAGTCAACTGGAACTGTCCTGTCAAACTAAATATTTTGCACTAAACGTTCCGTTTTAACTTAAATAATTAGGTTTAGTGAACGTTTTATGACAAAATCATTCATTCACTCACAACTACCTAAAATGGAACGTGCGATTCTGCATAATGGTAACATTATCTTCACTCGACTCGACATTTTCGTGACATTTGTTTCTATTTTGACTGAGAATACGGATTTCTGTGCAATTCGACATTTTTTGATAGAGATAGAGATATTTTTGATAGACATAGAGATAGACTTACAATGTCGAACTCGAGATAAATGGCGAAAATCGAGAATTGGCCCCCTGGGCCAAAGACAACAGTGGAATTGTTCGCCGAGTTGACACTCGTTCGGCGAGCGCGCACGTTCGTGTCGTGTTCGGCATCGCTCGGCAACGATTCGGGGCCATTCGTGAGTTGGAGCCCGTTGAATTTTGAACGTAGCTGTGTTACAAGACGTTCGAGTCTGCAACACGATTTCAGTTTAGACTAGGTACCTGAAGGTGCAAAGCTATTTTATTTTCTACTTCTATGTGCTTTATACCTAACGAAAAACCTAAGCTCGCATGCAGTAGTTTATAACCGCCACCAAAATAAATAAACTTTAATTAGTGAAACATAAAGCTGTATGTACGCAATAGATAGATATTATTACAAAATTATTTTTAGCAAAAAATAAACTGAATAATTTTACTATGTATCCACATACCCATGCTTTATCTGTACATATTTAGATATCTATCAAAAATAAATATTTCCCTTGTACTTCTACCTACGTGAAAATCTCGTCAACTTACTTAAGCGAATGATCCTCAGCGTTTTGCTTAGCTTTGCGCATGTCCGCAAGTTCTTTGCGCAAGCGCATCCGCTCAGCGTCGGCGTCTTCGACGTTACCGTTCGATATTTTGTTTTCGTTCGACTCGAAACTGTAGGTAACATTAAGTTAATGAACTTATCGTATAATAAAACAACATGCTTCAAAAATATATTATATTTTGTAAAATAATTGACAATTATAGACCTTTTCTGGTTCGTGCACATTTAAAGATTCAAAAAGTAAATGATATGGACTAAGACATCAGTAGAGTGTGATGTATTCTATGATAAATCGAATACTTATATTAATTCTTGTAAAGATATTACAATATTATATTGCAAGTATTGATGACAGGTAGACGTATAATTAACTTTGTAATCAGCATCTTAGTCCATAACATCGAGACGAGATCTAACCAACGCAAAACCTTAATTCGTTCTTCACAACTTCATATCTTCAAAAATACCTTCTGATTTTTCATACTCCTTGTTTATTTTCGGTCGTAATACCTAGTTACATCATCAGAGTGCCCAGTGCGAGTTTATTTGACGTAAACGCGATCGACACGTTTTTGACGTTTGATGCTGTGATTGGCTGCTCTAACTTAACCAACCAATCACATCTCTGTTTTGTGTCTTTAGGCTTAAGTCATTCAACTACCGTTTTTTCTTTTCTAAGAATATCTACCTACTGATTTACTTCGTTACTGGATCCAAGTCCACGCCGGACTTTACTATCCCGGTGTTTTCATGGTTGTATTTACTGTAGATCCTGGCTTACAGAAATGCACCGGTTTTGAGAGGCGGGCTTGTCCCATTAAAAATATCAACCAATCAGGGTGCTTACACTTGAAACCAATCTCAATGTCAATGCAATTTCAATCCAATAAAATTTCAATATTGTTTCAATGTCAAAACTATACAACCTACTGTAGCTGTTGAAATAGCATTCAGATTACGGAATATAAAGCCAAACTCAATACCATTTAGTTCATTTAATATCCACGCAATACGGATGCAAGGGGCGCTAGTGTTGCAACAGAAGAGTACGAAATTTAACAATACCAATGTCGATCGATCGGAATTGGATTCAAGAGTAAGCCCCCTGAGGTAACTTTGCGATCGCTTTAACGTTAAAATACCTCGCACTCAGCACTCAGATATTACATAAACAAGTTTACTAACCCGTTTGTGACTCTTAAGACTCGCAATTCATCTTCCAGTTTGACTATGCGATCCATCATACGACGCTTGTCCGCCTCTGAAGCACGCAGAGAACTCTGCAACAAGATAATGTACATGTTTTAATATGATAGATACCAATTACTTATAGTCTGATGTGTTTATTATAAGATTTAGAAGATGATTAAGTTTGCTGAATATTTCGGCATGTGCAGATAACGTTGCCATAATGTATTTTTGAAATATGTCTGTTACTGCTAAAGGTTTTGTAGGGAAGCATCAGCACATCCAATTTTTTACAAGGTATTTTGTTAAAATAGCCTTTTCCCAATGGAAAATCATGTCGCGGAGAACCTAACGGGTTACCGGGGCTCCGGTTCGACGTGCAGGAGAAGGAACGGGGTGGTTTTTAGTCAGTAAGGGCAGATTACTATGTATATCATTTGCATGCCTAAATGGTAAAATATGGCTGAACCTGTATTTTTATGTCACCTGTAATTGTTACCCATGTTTGCAAAATAAAAGTATCTTTATCTTTAAAAAGAGTCTGACACCCTCCCGGCTCACCCAGGCGGGAGCAGTCATTCGATGATTATTCCCCTTAAAAAAATTGTAAATCACAGGTTGCGTTATTAATAAAAGAGCACGGCAGTCTATCTTTAGTTAGACTGTTTGGGTTAGCGCTAGACCATTAGGTATCGTTAACAATTCTAAACCAATCAATTAATTATTGGAAATTAAGAACCTAACTTGAATAAACGTATTTCATTCATTCTTTCATTCATTCATTCGAAAAAACTCGAACATCGCAATAGAAAACTCAAACTCAAACTCAAAAGCATTTATTTCAATTAAACCATAATTTGGTACTTTTGAAACGTCAACAAATATGAAATAAATAATAGTCTGTCAGTCTGTCCATCAGTGAAGCTAGGCGCTCGTTCCAAAATGTCGATTAGAGTGGAGAAGAACGAGCAAGAAACTCCATTCGTTACTCTAAAAAAAAAGAAACCATCCGATTCAACTTCGACAAACGCACTTGCGAAATACTGACTCACGGACGTGTGTATAAAATTTTACCTTAGATTAATTTTTAGCGAAAAGTACCAAAAATCTTCAAAAACTACATACTAAAGAGTATAAGTTCAGTGTGTGGGGGGTTATATTTTAAGTGTGTAAGTACAAGTGCAGTCGCCGGTCGTTTGGCTGCGGATAATGTATTCGGGGACACGGCGCGCTGACCATGCGGCTTCGGGGCGAAGGTAAAATGCTGCTTTTTGACGCAGAGGATTTAAAGGTAGTTTTATTGGCTCGAGGTAATTTTCAGGTCACGGGAATATTAAGCTAAAGTTTGTGAGTACAGATGCAAGGGATTTTTTTTAATATTTCTATTTCCAAATGAAATTACTGTGTTAAACTTAGTTCTATATTTTAATTCTTTCATTAACCGCTTGAATGCACCGATATGAGACACAATAGAAAATACATTGTCTCGCGTGGGTCTTCGTTTAGACCCACGACGGGTTAAAGAAGATTCCTTCAGGAATTTCAATAATCTAATCAAATTATATATTTTTGTATTTTTGCGCCGTCTTCACTGTTTTAATTTTAATTTTTTGTACTTTGTGACGGTGTGCAAATAAACAATTTTTCTTTCTTTCTTTCAAATTGTAGTTCATTAATAAGCATAACAGATTTTCTTATTACTTAAGTTCTTTTAGAATACGTACTGAATCTAAAATTCATACCAGAACATCCCTTTACTTCTTTATTGATATTTTGAATTTCTTTCTAACTTGCTGTCTGACTAATATTAAACATCTAATATAAATAGACCACCAGCAACATTTTAGCGGCTCAACTTTCTCACCCCGCGCTGTTTCCGTGCAGGCTGTTAAAGCCAAAATTGGCTGTATCTCTTACACAGAAACCAGCGGCCCAAGCTGTGTAGTGACAGTAATAAGTGGCCGACACGAAGATAACATAACACCCCATCATAAAACGCTTTTTATGGAGTTTTTAAAACAACCACGCCACGAGATTCGAGCTGGTAAGAAATGGAGAACAAGATTAATTAACTATATAGTGAACTCATCTAATTCTGTGATTCGCCTAATAATTCGGTTTGGTAAATTTAGTGGAACTCTTAGGTTTCTAGAAAAAAAACTGATTATTTGTGCTAATATTCCTCATAAAAGGCTGATTAAAACTCATGCGGAGACTGAATTAAATTAATTAATAATTTATTGGTATTTTATTACTCAAATGCCTTTGCCACGAAGTTAGATGAGTTCACCCTACTAACTACTGAAAACAAAAAAGGGGCCATCGATAATGAAATATAGGTATTATCTTAGAGTAACACAAGAACTGATGTTTATTAAAATAAAAAATACTAAAATAAATAAAGTAAGTATAGACAACGCCATAATACATAGTCCAAACACTTCAGTTGCTAAAAACCAGACATTAAAGCTTCTTGATAAAAGCCTAAAAACGGGTGAGCGTTATTTTGTTTTGAGCAGCAATAATAGTCTCTTCTTAGGAAATCAACGGGAAGAAAAACCCCGATCGGTGGTAGCAGAACTGACTGAAAGTATCTACTAAGACTTTTTACCTGTGTAACCGAACGTCTCCCGTGTGCTTCTCAAAGGACCATCGACTTAAAGAAACAAAGGAGACCACGTCTACTCCTCCTATACAGGGTGTAAAGGGAAGGCTCCCGAAACGCTGACAAAAAGAAATTGTTCTTTCAATTTTAATAGTTTCTGTTTTCATGCAACATCAGCTTTGAGCAGTTGATTGATCACAACTATTGTTATATAAACATTTAATTCCTTAATAATAATATAAGCCTTTTATTCAGACAAAACAAAACTTTTTTAACATTAATGTTTTTGATAAACTTAAGGATTTGTTTATATGCATCGACGTCCTGTCTGTGTGTAACTGATTGACAATGGCGTCCTCCAACTAGCGCCATTTCTCTCAATCGCTTGCTAATCTGGTCCATGCATTGCCTGCGTTTAATTCCTTACATTTATAAAAATCAAATTTATTTTTACCATCGCGTGTTTTTCAGGAGCGTTCGGATTATACCCTGTTATTGTATCCTATATATCCTCCTCCTGCGTCAATAGTTCAGGTCTACAAGTCAATTCACCAGCAGTGTAGCAGAGACAGACGCTGGCAATGGTCCGTTAGATCAGGCCACATGAGATATTATCCTGCGATAGCCAGCTATGATGAAGCTATTTGTACGTGGTGCAAGGTATGTACTTGAGCGAATAAAGTCTGAAGATATGAAAGACAAGCAAGGCAAGAAGGTTTAAGCGAAATTGAATTGGATTAAACTGGAGGATTTTCTTATTTCAGAAGGTTTTGTTAACTGCTGTTTCTAAGCGGTCTCCGGTGACCGCTCACCATTTACTCCATTATAGACCCTATATTCGATGTTAAAAGACTACTTTTGTATGAACGAATGTTGTGGATTTTTAATAATTTTGGCTTAAGAAGAAGGATTTAAGGATAGTTTTCATCCTCTGTGTAGTGACGGCTGAGACACTGCCCCTTTCTTTACGTGAATATCGTAAGAACCGATTAAGGGAGTGTCTATTTATCAGAGTACTGGCTACAACACTCTCTGAACCTTTCAGACGGTGATCTCCATCCCGGTTAGGTAAACCTTTCTATGTAGGAGAGATCCTTTCTGTCTAGCAAGGATAAAGTAGTAATATAAACTGGTCACCTAAGTATAGGACTTAATGACAATTCTTAGTTAAAAGTTGACGATGATAACAAATACACATAACTTTACGCCTTTCGTCCCCGAAGGGATAGGCAGAGGTTCGCAATACGGCACTTAATGCCACTGTACAATGTGATACCCACTTTTTGGTGACGATGATAATGATTCCCAAGATAGATATCACCCAGTAGATATTTCCAAAAGATATCGCATTCACCATTATTATTTCCGCGTCAGCCTGCAACTTAGGCCCGGAGGCGTTAAGTAAGATTACACGGCTAAGTCTATATGTGCACACAAACAGACAGACAGCCGGCGGGCAGTTAATTTTGTTGGTTCCGACAGTTTCCTGTATATATCTGATACACTGTTGTCGCGGATACATTGACAGGTTTGTTCATAGAAAAAATTGGATAAATTCCGTCTATAAGTAGAATATTTTTTATGAAAGTAAAAATACCTTGGGGCTGTGTAAAAGTATTATTGATGTTATTTATACGTCAGTCACTGATTTTATGACCTGTAGATTTTCTATGGTATTAGCTGATAAACGAGCAGACGGATCACCTGATGGTAAGCAATCGGTGTCGCCCATGGACAGCTGGAGCACCAGAGGCCTTACAAGTGCGTTACCGGCCTTTTGGGGATTAGGAATTTGAGCATTGTTGGGGATTCAGGGATTGCGGAGATTGGAGAAGAGGGGTAATCGGGCCTCCGGTAACCTCACTCGCATAAAAAACACAACACAAGCGGTTTTATGTGAGGCCGTGATATCACTCCGGTCGAGCCGGCCCATTCGTGCCGTAGCATGGCTCTCCCGCTTATCAGGACTTTGTAGTCAGCAAGAAAGGGCCTAAGAACTAAAGGTAAGAGCTAAGAGGAATAAGAATTGATTCATTATGATGATAGGACAAAATTCTTCTTCATCCAAATGTTTTTTTTATACCACGACGGTGGCAAGCACACGGCCCACCTGATTGTACGTGGTTACCGTGGCCTATGTACTTACGCTTGCAACACATGGGGCATCACATGCGCCTTGCCAAGACTATATAAACCTGTTTACTGCTTTCTTGAAGAACCCCATATTGTAGTCTTCTGCTTATATAACACTGAGGGTGTCTTCTTATAAACACTAAGATCTACATCTTGACACTTAAAGCAAATATGTACAACCTTTCTTTCGTCTGTAAACGAGTCAATTTCCACTCCACACACAATGGACGAGTCTAATAGGACGACTAGGTAAAAAAACTCCATAAAAATTTAACAATAACAACACCTAAGGTAAAAACACGAGTTTTTCAGTAAAAGCCTGTAGCCCAGTGGTTACTTAGCGAGCAGTAGTGACGCATTAACTTGACCATGTTAATCGGGTGTTGCCATACGTTTTTGCACTTCAATTAACTTATTACGAGGTGAGTGCTAGTGCTAATTATACGGACAAACGTACAGCAACACCCACGCGTTAAACTTGTATGTAGAGGTACTAGGTACTTATAAAAGTCGGTCGGTATCCCTTTGTTGCTGTTATTTTTAACGGAAGAAAAAGGCGATATGAGATCAATGCTTCAAAAATAAATTTTGTTTGTATTGTTGTGACTGTGTGTGCAAGAAATGATTTCATTTTTAAACTTTTATTATTTAATTTGTTAATGGTTTACTAAAAGTATCCTGCATTGTGCTACATTAGTCTTCCATTTTTAAGTATTTTTAAGCCAACCGACTAAAAGACTCCAAACAATAACAATAAAACGACCACATTATTAATTCAAAAGAATATTTAAAAAAAGAATCGTATCACTGGCCGGTATGACGTCACTCCTGTCACGTGACGGCGCGCGGCGCGCGTAGGGTGGCGGCGCCTCACTGCACCGCCATCCACTTACATCTGCCAATATTTGCTCACCAACCCCCCTCCTGCCCCGTACCCCTCCCCTAAACACCCCTCGCACGCACCACCCGTTCATATTTCAAATGCTATGATGTGGGGTGACACTAAACACTACAAAATACAAAGTTACAGGGGCTGCTTTTACACCGTCGTATAACGTTTGTTGGGAAATATAATGTATCGTGTTCGATGTTGCTAGGGAAAATTCAGGTAACGTTAGATATGTCATCATAATAGAACATACAGAATATGAAAAGAAGATAAAAACCAGTAGCCAATTTTCAAAATAAACCGATATATCCTCAGTCTAAAGAATGCAATCAATATATTTCTTGCATTCCGTAAAAAACAGCAGCCAAAATAGATCTTAAATCAACATTCATACATCATTTCTTAATTTCGATAAGTATTCGTCTATAGAAACATCACGTTTTAAGGATAAATAACTCACATACCTAGGCATTATTATTGTTCTCCAACTAATCAATTTAACACGGGTACGCTAATAAAACACCGCAGCAAGACACTGCGATAAAAAGCTTGTAAAAAATGGCTGTAGTTAACTGCTGTATGGCAAAGATGTGGTCAATTTCATCAATAATAGACGAACATGATGTATTCAAATTCAATTAAGTAACTAATCAACATGATATTTAGTGTTCCTTAAAATCCTAGTTATAGTATGTGCTGTCAGGCAAGAATGCCATCAGAAGTTTGCCACGGGATTAATCTTATCTTTCATAGAGCTTTTGACCTAAAAGACTGAAGTTATAACTACCAACCAATACAATTGATTGTTTATTATTTTAGAAAATCAACCAACCACAAACCGAGCGACATTTTGCAAAAAGTTATTTTATGTAAGAAATAATACAGAACCCTTTCCGAGCGAATAGAGATCGCACTTAGTAATTTGTAAACTTTTTGCGTATAAATTAAAATAAAAACTTGTTGTTTCGAAATCGCCAGGTGCGCAGAATAGTGTTTTATGTGTGACAATTCAAAAACAGTAAGTTGAATAGATAAAGCAAACCGGTTAGGTATACACTACACACAAACAAATATTTGCAGACTAATCGTGACGTCCATCATACTCATAATTAACCGATAATTTGTATGCGAAATACCTTTCCATTTATTTTTATTAATATTTTAACCAGGTGGTGGATATTATTTTGCTTCTGGTCTTTTTCCACATGCTATGCAGACATGTAGACGGCATTGCGGTTAAAAGATTAGATGGTATCTAGTATATTTCATACATATAACCACCTTAACTATGATATGACCTCCACAATTTATTAGAACCATAGATAGACTTATCAGCTTCTGAATGACATGAGCAACGAGACGTTGGACTAGTGCGAAACAACTTGATATACAGTTTTCAATCAAAGCTAAGTATATGCTGAAGTAATTCATCATTATAATATTAATAAAAATCTATTAATGTCCAATCATTTCCACTATAACCCCAAAAGTAATAGCATAAAATATTACAGTACGGTGTAACAGAGAGCCGGGACAAACCGTTGAAAGTGCGAAGTCGCCACGTAGAATTGAATCGATGCGTTCCGTTTTATTCACTCGTGCTGATTTTATAATCCCTGCGTGTGCATACGGGTATGAAAATCAAACGGTTGTATCTATGGAACGTTCCCTTTTTCACGTTCCAAAGTTATCTAGAAGTTATTCCGAATTTGAATGGAGCGTCGAACGTTTGAATGTTAGTGAAAGTGACTAGGGAATAACATTTGTATTCATATTGGTTCAAAGGATCTTTAAAATGTTCTGGTGACATGATAAAAAAAGGAATAGTTTTAGGCATATTCTATAGCACGCTAATTTGAAATATTTCAGAACTAATAAAATTAAGAAATCAGATTGTCTGTCTACTTAAACAAAATCGAAGTCGTCAAAGTCAAAATCATTTATTTCAATTAGACCAAAAAGGCACTTTTGAAAGTCAACAAAAAGTGAAAAGTGAAGCTATATCCAAGATTCCTATGGAGAAGAACGAGCAAGAAATTCATAGGATGCATAGGTTACTTACTACTCTTGTTCAATCATAAAATATTGCCCATATTTTTCTAATAAAATGTTTCTAAAACGCAGCAATGGCTAATTATGCATTATTTACGTCTTTAAACCAGCTGCACTTAATTTACTGTTCAACTTACTCTAAATAACGACAAGATGTCAGCCAGAAACTCCACGACTTTACAGAAAAATCAAAATCCCGCTCTTCACCATCACGCTAAGAAAAACACACAAAAAGGTGTCTACAAAAATAATGCTAAATAAAAGAAATAAATAATAACACAAGTGTCTATAGAATTATGTTTTAAAAATACCTAAGTCGAAATAATTCGCCAAGTCACTATGCGCTTGCGTCGTAGGCGTTTCGCATCAACAACAATGGTCTTCGCGAATGTCTATGCTAACACTAAATGTTACCAGGCCACATTAAATAAAAATATGTAAGGTGAATTTTAATTTTACTATAATTAAATAATTTTAGTATAACAAAATAATTTTACTATAACAAAATAATTTTATAGTAACTAAGCGAATAAGCTATGTAAGCATGTTGATACTTTCATAGATCGAGAGGTGAAAAGTTAAAGGGTAAAGTTCATTTTATTTGGTACCTATGCATTAATAATGATATAGGAGGGGATTTGAAATGTAAAATTATGAAGAAAAAAATCTAAGACTAAGAACAAATTTTAAGCATACACTATTTTGATAAATTCCAATTCCTGAGAAAGGCAAGGAATTGAGAAAGATATTTCTAGGTATTAAACGTTTTTTTGTCGTGCAAGTATATACACATAAAAGTAAAAAACCAAACAGACTGAGCAGCTTCCAGCCACAACATTCACAGCCTAAGTGTTCCTTCTGTACTTTCTCTATTCTGTGGCTCCTCGTCAGTCGGTGAGACAGAGCGTCAGGGCGTGAAGAGCCCTCGACGAGACCACCCAACTCGCTCCGCAAATAATGCTTAATAGCACCGAATTGAGGTGAAAACGTAAAAAAATACAAACTCAACGAAAAAAAAAAAAACTTGTGAAATATGAAAAAATAATGTTGATTTTACAATTCCTTGAGGTTTTATGCAAAGTCTTGGGTAAATAAACAGTGCTACGCTTATGCTAATGCCATTATATCGAGCTATTCCAACTTGCGTATTAGATTTTTCATAATAACGTTTTAAAATTCATTTCAATTTACGCAATGAAGGCATTATGTGTAATCTGAATTTAGCTTAGTGATCAAGTACTTACTTGAGATTATGAAACACTATATTTTTAGGTTTTAAAAACAAAAATAAAAGCATTGGAAAATGTGACTTATCATATTGATAAGATAGAATACGTAGTTTAAAATTAAGCACTAATGATTAAATTTCAGTTATTAATCGCTCGGAATTATTTTTAAGCGCCATCTGTGTAGACTATGGCAGACTATCACAACCATAAAACAACTTTGGTATAAGCGCCATCTAGTGATTCTAATGGTAACAACTTCGTACAACAAATTACACATTTCCAAGATAGATGGCGTTACTAACTAGTTTCGTGAAGAGAGCTCTCTATTTCAATCAAATTAACAAAATTAGACATACCTTGATCTCTTCAAGAGCTTTTTCCGTGAACTTAGCTTCCGAAGATGTCAAACCGTTCTGTAAAAGAGGAAATACAGTTATTGTGGTCAAAACAGCGGGAATTCACAGAAAAAGCGGATTGAGGTCTACTATGAAATTGATATTACTAAGTATTCCTTTAAGTATTTGAAATACTAAACTGCAAGTAATGTAGGTATAATTTTATTAATAAATAGATACTAGGTTAATAAATACAAATAAGCTAATCTGTGAATCCTATTTTTCTTCCACGTCGCATTAAACCAATTAAAAATGGTTTAATTTTTGAGTCTGTATCCAGATACGTGGATGTAGTTACACGGAAGAAGAGTGATATATGGACTATATTTTTTATGACAACGCGTGCCAAGGTAAGATTAAAAATTTCAGACATATGTATTTATAGTCTAAAAAGCCTATAAAAATATAAACGATCAACACAAATGAGGAAATAATTCTGAGTAAAGGTAAGTACGGACTGAATTCCATGCACGCATTGCCTCGGCTTGCGAGCAGCGAGTAGCGACCCAGATTCAATGATCGATGAACAATACTGTTAGATTAATAATTTTACAGTACACTATATGAACTATATTATGCTATGTGTAGTCGACAACAAGCGTATGTGTACAGTTTTTTATTTTAAACCTAGTCGATTTGACAGATGCTTGTTTCAAGATAGTAGTTCACACATCACCGAGGCGCACTGGACTTGCGTGTTAGGGTTTTCAGTGGTGTCTACTGTACATCCTGGATTATAGGGAGTCGTAGAGGTGTTGGAAGGTGGTGGCGAGCTTGATCCAAAAAAAAATGAGATTTGATTATTCAGTTTATCTTTAAAAATTAAGAATTTTTTAGAACTCGAATAACTGAATTTTGAACTTCTAGGTTTAAGAAGTCGATTAGTAGGGAATTGGTGGCACCGTTTTATTCAAAATTTAATGTACCAGTACATTTTTTTACTACTACAGTTTAAATATATAGTTAGATAAGATTTAATCATTATTTCCTGTACAGTTAAAAGGTAAAAAAGTCAGCATTAATTACAATAAAACTAAAGTCAGTTTAGAAAGTCAAGAATTTGTACAATAAAGACAAAAATTAACAGGAAAAGATGTCCGATCGATATTTAGGTAGCTACAATGAATTAATTGGAGTAAAGTATTTAAAACTAGGTTTCTTAGCTGCACTAATATTATAAAGGCAAAATTAATTGTTTTTCTTCCTTTTACGTCGCATCCGAGCGTTATCTTGGTAATGTAATAAATTTGAAAGTTAATGTGGTGTTTGTGTTTATTGTTACCCAAACACGACAAAACGGATAAAGGAAACGAGATGAAATTTCAAATAGGGATTATTGGTCTGAAAATAACACATAAGCTACCTTTTACTTTATGAGAACGCGGGCGAAGCCGCTTGAAGAAGTTAGTTATGTTATGATATTATGGTTTTAATGTCTGGGTATAGTTAAGAGGTTGGAGAGCAATATAGACTACGTTTTTACTTTTACCACGAGGGGCGAATCCGTCTGTCATCATCATCAACAGCCTATAAATGCCCACTGCTGAGCAAAGCCTATTCTCACATGGAGAAGGTTAGAGCATTAATCACCACGCTTGCTCAATGCGATGCTTAAATTATAATTAGAAATTATAAGCCCAGGTTTCCTCACGATGTTTTCCTTCGCCGTTTGTCAGTGGTGTCTAGATAATCTTAGAAAGTACATATAACTCGGAAAAAGTCACATTGGTACTTGCCGTTGGTAGGTTTCGAACAACCTCATGCATGAGAAGCGGGCGTCTTAAACCTCCGGGCCACCTCGACACGACATCCGTATGTATCGGTTAGTAATAAAATAAATGAATGTGCCAATTATTCCAATTGATAAATAATAGGAAGAGGTCGTTTATATGTGTTGTTAGAGGAAATATCAGAATACCAACGAAACTATACTTGTAGAAGATAATTAATTTTGATGTAGTATCTATTGCCTCGTCCTAAGGGAGCGAGAGAGCGCCGCTACCTGTGTGCTTACTCTTGAGACCAATCTCAATGTCAATGCAATGTTAACCCAATAAAATCTCAATAATTATTCTATGTCAAAACTATACAAGCCCTATCGTAGCTGTTAAAATAGCATTTAGAGTACGGAATATAAAGTCAAACTCAATACCATTTAGTTTATTAAATATCCACGCAATACGAATGCAATGGGCGCTAGTGTTGCAACTCAAGAGTACGAAATTTCACAATACCAATGTCGATCGATCGGAATTGGATTCAAGAGTAAGCCCCCAGGTCTCTATAAAAATAGTTCTATCTCTTTCAATATCCAGGTTAAGGGCTCGTACACAAAACTGCGATGCGACGTCACATCGCAAAAATGTGCGAATTCCCTCTACGCATCGCAAGAACTTGCGAATTGATACGCATCGCGCATTAATATCTCATCTTCCCAAAATCTTCTTTGTTTCTTTTTCCTGTATCTCCTAAGCAATAACAGAAGTGCACACTTCTTTTTACGATCCATGTCACGACCTAGTCTTCAATTTAAAATACATTTAACTACGGTTGACAGTCGTCGAAGGAATGATCACTCTGGGCTAGACGTCTTGTCGCACGAAATCGGATCGCAGCAATTCGCATCGCATCGCAGTTTTGTGCACGAACCCTAAGAATTTTAAATCTAAACAATATTGACTCGTATATAGCATATGCACTAGGATATTACCACTGGGAAGATTTTTAGTTATAAATACATGTCTATGTTTATCTATTGATAGGTTATCAGTGACATATAAATCGTTATCGGGTATATAACTTGAATGTAAATATCTATTACGTACTCCTTATTTGGTTATCTAAGAATGTAATGATACGTTGGATACAGATTCCTTTAATATGGCCGCAATTTTGAAAAAAATGATTTGGATGGTCGAAATTTCTGACTGAGATTGAGACGGGCAAGGGGTCTCGGATTGGATTCCAGGGTCGGCCAAAGTATTACTGAGTTTTTAAAAAAAAATTCCAGTAGTAGCACGGAGTCTGGAATTGTGCCTGATATATGGCAATAGCCTCACCCCCTATTACATGGGACTCATAACATAAATAGTGAAAAGTGGGTGTTACATTGTACGGATGGCAGTAAGTGTCGAAATGTGCACCTCAGTCTACTCCTTCGGGGATAAAAGGATGTTATAAAAGGCGTGATGTTGTGTTATGTCGAAATTAATGGTAAAGTTACATCATAGTGAATTTATATAGTATTTAGTTGGCTTAGAGAACATAACATGAACTGCTATTTTTACCGATTTCATAAAAGGACTATGTTCGGATGATGGTTTTTTGTTTGTTCGCCTATTACACTGCCAACTGTGGTCTGATTTTCGAAGTTTTTTTTTGTTTGATAGGTTACACCCGAGAGGGTCCCATTTTTTCCAAGTCAGGATCTGATGATGGGATACTAGACCTTTTTTAAGCTATCGGTGAGTGGATAACCTATTACCTATTTACTTTTTGTTTTAGTTTTTACTTTTTGTTTGTTTTTGGTTTTTTGAACGGTTTTCTATAACACAATTTTTTTTTTCGAAATATTAGAGATACTAGAGGATTCGATACGAAACTTCCCTTAATTTTGTCTTACACAGGCATTCAAGAATATAACCGTTCATGGCATTTGTCACACAACCTGTTGACTACCAATTACCTACTAAAAACCAATTTAATCTACGATTTATAAACTTAATCCATTCAACAAATCAGTTAAGAACAGATAAAAAACGAAGCACCGATTTATTTTCCATTCGATTCCCGTCAATAGCATTAAAGTTAAAATTTTAATCTCATTTGTTACGTGTTTCAGTCTGACTGTCTCGTTGTTCGTCAATCGTAGCTGTCTCAGGTTCCATTCATAGGTTGGGTACATTATTTTTAGCTTTTGACTTCCGAAAATTCTCACTAATTTTAAAGATATTCGGTGTTTGGTAGCCCGAATATATAAATGAATAATCCTTATACTTTTTTTCTGGAACGAGCGCCTAGCTTCACTGACAGACAGAAAGAAGGACAGTTACATTTTTGACGTTTTAAAAGTATCTTTTTTTAAGAGGGGAAAATCATCGATTGTCTGCTCCCGCCCGGGTGAGGCGGGAGGAGTGTCAGACTCTTACTGACTAAAAACCACCCCGTTCCTTCTCCTGCACGTCGAGCCGGAGCCAAGGTTACCCGTTAGGTTCTCCGCGACTTCAAAAGTGTCTAAAGGATTTATTAAGAATTAATTGAAATAAAATGCTTTGACTTTGACTTTCTTACTAGTTTAAAAAAGAATTGAAAAAAAATTTGAGTAATAAGATTTCTCTTTCATATGCTTCTTAGTGTACATTAATTAGTACTTGTATCAAGAACCCCTGGCTGTACTCGAAGGTGAGGGCATCCTCTAGTGCTTTCTATTAGTCCCCGTTCTTGGCTATATTCATCCAATGCTTGCCAGTCACTTAGATTATGTCGCCTGTCCACCGCGCGAATAGTCTGCTTCTTTTTCTCGTGCCTGCCGGCCAAGATGTTAGGAAAAAAGCCCACCGGTTACCGGTATTCTTAGCTATGTGGCCGGTTGGTTTATATTTTATAGGAGTCACACATGATAATCACCAAAATCAAAACCAAAAATGGTGTTTTGCGACGAAAAAGAAGCATTATGGCATTTTCAAATCGATTACTGCATCTTTTAACGAAAAAGTTATGAATACTCAGGTGTTAGTCATCGATATCATAAAATATGGCTACCACAAATTCGAATGTCATAATGACCATTATTGTAAGATTTAAAGGTCATTGACTTGAAAATGGAGAATGGACGATTTGAGCGTTGAGCATGTTTGGAGTGAAGCCAAAATGTTTTGGAAAATGTCAAGTCCAGTCTGGATAGTGTCTGCATTTGTATTGTACGTTGTAGAATAGGTTTATTGTTGTATAAATTGTGAATGTTCAAGATGTTCGTTGGGTGGAAATCTCTCAATTTTATATATCTATAATCTACCTACTACTTTTCCGCTAGCGGCAATAGAGCTCGCTAAAGCATGTAGGATCAAATATTTAACATCAGATTGGATGTCAGAGGTGATGACAAGACATAAAATGAACAAATCATATTCCAAGAAATGATGGGCGAGAGATCATGTGCAAAAACTTTTACTGCAGATTTAATATAAATGTGCAATCAAAATAATTATATAGCAGCGTACCGTTAATTCGCACGTATTCAGAACGACCGACATACGCCAAATTTTTGGCAGTCTTTTGAGAAATTTTTTGACCGCCTCGTGACTCGTGTACTGGCAAGATATCATACCGACATATTATTTTCAAAATCGGTCTATTTGAGAGAACTTACTAATGCATGTAACGTGTATTACTTTTGTTAGGCATATTGACTGCAGCTGAACTGTGAATTTCAAATTCGAGTGAGGGGTCGAGCAGTGTTTTGATTACCTTACTTTTCCGTACTTTTCCAGAAGTCAAAGAAAACCGACGTGAAACAACGCTTGCGTTGTGTTTCGTCATGTGAGTGAGGTTACCGGATGCCCAATAATTCTCTCCCCCTCCCTCCAAACTACCCAATCTCTAAATCCCCAACAATCCTTAAATTCCTAATCCCTAAAAGACCGGTAACGCATTTGGAACACATCTGGTGATCCGGGCGACGCTGATTTCTTCCCATCAGGTGATACGTCTGCTCGTTTACCGGCTTAACCCATAAAAAAGGTTTCTAAAACCGAAATCCCCAAAAAATTATAAGAATTTCTAAACCGAATAAATTAATATTACTTTACAAGTATTTGTTCGGATCAAAACCGAAAACCATAATCCGCACTAACAAACACCTAATCAAAGTTCTAGTCAAAATACTACCCCTCCAAAACAAGCAAATGGTTCAGGGAATCATAAATATAAACACGGTCACATCACAGCACCTCTTATCCAATATCTGCACTCTGCAGAGACAGTTAAAGGAGTTCCCTAATGCAGTGGAACTTAATAAAATGCGTTTCGCTTCGATAATCCAACAAATTGGTTCCGTATCTAACTTTATATTGGTCATGGTAGTCTCAGTACTTCATAGCAAACAACTTCAAGTATTAAAAACCGTTCTTTACAATCCATTTGTTAATTTAAACACCGTTAAATAAATAATAACTGGCTGTTGTTCAGTGGTCAAAATTTTATCGTATACTTCTTTTAGACATTTTTTTGTTAATTTTATAACGATCAAGTAAGATTTCTACAGAATCTTATGGGGCGAGAAAAAATTTAAACGTTAAAGATCCGCTATTGGGGGCTAAAATGTCCACCAATGTATGACGTAGGGCTATAGTGATTTAGATCAAACTGGGATGAAGACGACGGGTTAACGACGATGAGAAAAATACGTTTATTGCAAAAGAAAGCTGATCTGGCTACACTATAAAGATACTCCAGTTGACCTTTTTGTTTTAATACCTTATACAGACATTAGAAAGCTCCAACCAGACAAGGTCACGTCTGAAGGTCAGAAGCACACCCTTTCTTGCCTTGAATTGTCCATTCTTTATATTGTCAAAGCATCAAATGACAGTATCGATTACCAGCCGTCAATGAATAATTGAAGAAAGTCATTTGATTGGCGTTTGTCGTCAATTCATGGTCATTGTAGGAAATACGCGAGTATGTGAATGCCTGCATGCTAATTAAACAGTTAGAGCTCGTACACAAAACTTCGATGCGATGCGATGCGAATTCGCAACGCAAAAAATTACGATGCGATTTCGTGCGACAAGGCGTCTCCCAGAGTGACCATTTCTTCGACGACTGTCAACCGTACTAAACGTATATTAAATTGAAAACTAGGTCGTGACATGGATCGTAAAAAGAAGTATGCACTTCTGTTATTGCTTAGGAGATACAAGAAAAAGAAACAAAGAATATTATTATGCGCGATGCGAATCAATTCGCAAGTTTTTGCAATGCGTATAGGGAGCTCGCACAATTTTGCGATGCGACGTCGCATCGCAGTTTTGTGTACGAGCCCTTATAGTGTGTGTAATAGATATATTATTTGTTTTTCACGCTAGTTTTTACGTGAAAACGAAATGCTTGAGCAAGATTCTTATGAGCATGCGACACCTTTACTGATCTTATCATTACAGTTTCTTTTCGCCGATCACCTGGGGCTACCCCTACATAACCGGGCCTGCGGATGGCGAATACGGGTGACTTGCCGCCCGACCTGAACCAGACCCGAACGTACGGCGCACCGCGTTCCGCGCGCGGATTCCAATAGGGCTGATGCCGATACAGAACCGCGGAGGATTTAAATTGGATGATTTTCCCCCTTAAAAAGTCCCTACATAACAGTGAACCAATCCCAGGTGACATTTACTTGCCAATTATTAAAAATGTTCATATCTAAAAATTTTATTAATAGACATACTCGATTCGGTTTAAGCATGAAAGCGTAACAGACAAGCAAACGTCAACATTTCCAAATAAATAGTAGAAGTGTGAAATTATACGACATACCAACTTACCAAAATCAATGATGGATGTTAAATAAAAATTTCAACTAACTGTGTTTTTATTGAACATTATGAAAACCAGTCCTGCAATATTATGAACCTATCTAAGGTTGGCGAGATATGGAGAGGGGTGAATATTGAAGAATACATTTCACGTCTACTTAGGGCAAGGATGGAAAGAAGAAAGGTTATAGAAAATTACTACTAATACAAATTACAGAATTAATACTTGTTTAATTTATACTTGAAATTGACTGCACGGTTGTCGCGGTGGCTGGGCAACTGGCTGACGCGCAAACGTGTCGCGGGTTCGATTCCCGCACGGAACAATTCTTTGTGTGATCCACAGATTGTTGTTCCGGGTCTGGGTGTCATGTGTATGTTAACTTGTATGTTTGTAAACGCACCCACGACACAGGTGAAAATCCTAGTGTGTGGCAACGTGTTTTTAAAAAAAAAAACCTACTTACATCGTTTCTTTCGACGACCATGGCTCGTACGCGCGAGTACAGCGCATCCTCGCGCATGCGCGCTGCGTCCCTGATCTCCCGCACCAAGTCGGTCAGGAAGCCCGGAGCATACTGTCCTGCTAGGTACGCTGGAAATAAGAACAAGCTTAAATTTAGGACGATAGAATAGAAGAAAAGAAGTATTGACCAAAGTAATTATCTTCTGCCTCGTTGACCGAATGGTCGCAACTGCGACTGCCGAGCAACGGGTCTCGGGTTCGATTCCCGGGTCGGGTAAAGTATGACTGGGGTTTTTAAAAAATCTCAGTAGTAGCACGGAGTCTGGAAATGTGCCCGGTATATGGCAATAGGATCACCCCCTATTATATGGGACTCATAACATAATAGTGAAAAGTGGGTGTTACATTGTACAGTGGCATAATGTGCACCTCTGCCTACCCCTTCGGGGATAAAAAGGCGTGATGTTATGATATGTTATGTAATTATCTTCTGAAAACTTTTCGCTTCAAGGTATTCCAGTTCTGCCTACAACAGTACAACCTTTGCAACACTTACAATACAATAGAAGGTGTCCATGGGCGGCGCTGATTGCTTACCATCAGATGATCCGTCTGCTCGTTTGCCTCCTATTCCATAAAAAAAAGAAGAACTGTCCTTGGTATCTCACCTCAGTACTGACGAATGAGCCTTATTAATAGGCAATAAAGTTTCATTTACTCCGTACCATTTATTATTAAGACGTAATATAAATCTATTATTATGCTTCATGCGTCAGAACCTAGAATGTAAAAGGGTCTGCGCAAAGTTCTCCAAAGTTACGCAAAAGAAACCCCAATAAGAAGGTAATAAAACAATTGCTTTTTAATTCAAGTACCCAATGACGAAAATAGCCTATTTTACGTCATTACAGAACTTTTTTAAAGTGAAGGACGTTTGGTTAAACATTGCTTGCTCAAAGGCGGGGTAAGTAACGTCAATGTTTAGGTAACACGCAATGGTTTCCCATTCCCATACATCGTGAATTGAGCGAAAAATTGCCGTGTTACACATTTGCTGTAGGATAATGAGCGAGTATGTGTTGGGGATCATTATTTTCTTTTGATCTCGTATAATTATCAACATATACTATTTTTAAGTTATTTTACCCCTTTTCGGATCATATAATACGAGTAGGTAGACAGACATTCTAATTTAGTTCAGTAAAAATCTTCGAAAGCAGAAAATGCTCTTTGAATTATATGAATTACACAAATTAACAGTACGTAATCAATAGGCTGCGCGACATCGCCGCGACTGCTGCTCATGAGGAAGAACCCCTCTGTGGTTCGAAATTAGTAGAGCTTTTTTCGATATTCACGTGAGTAATCCACGATTTTTAGTTAATTTAGTATGTTTCACGATAGTTATTATAAAAATATGAATTACATAGTTTATTCACATCTACGAAGCTATAATACCAAAATCACCCAATTTCAAGACCCCCAAATAGATATTGGACATGCAAAAACGGCTCAGATATCCAATGTCAATAAAAGTTACCGCAACGAATCTAAATTGTAAGCGTAATCTATTTCCCACAAATGCGAAAGAGTTTTAATATCAAGGCATCTTTGGGTCACGTAACGCACGCGATTTCCCCGCACTACGGTTGTGGGGGGCGTTCCATCGTGCGCTGTCCCGTCACTAGTCAATAAGAAATGGAACCATGGAGTATAGAGTAATGGAGTATTGGCTCTGAGTGTTAACATGTCATTGTTTTCAAGTCAATAGGAGATGTTGCAGTAAATAGATGGGGATTAGGGCGTTTCTCCAATTTAGGTCCTTGCCTACAGCTCCCTATGACCATTTAGGCAATTATATAATAGTATTCTTCCTGCCGTTATCGCAAGTTGCTTGGGGTCGACACAACGGTTAATATTCGTTTGTATTCACGTTATCTGGACAGTTTTAAAAAGCAAGAATTTGCTTCAAATGTTAATAATAAACAAGTAATAGTTTTTGAAACGAATTGACGTCGTTCTATTGTTTCTGTTTTAATCTGATCGCCATAGGTAGAAGATACTCCTCATCTATATACTCCATGTACATAACACAGTTGGAATACTTCGCTGATTGACGTTTAATATTCAGCACGAGTGATTCAACCGTGTGAAACCGTTGATTCTGATGACCAACGTCCAACATTGGTATTGGTTTCGTTAGTAGGACTTTCCTAATAGAAAATTCTGTTTAATATGTGGCCAATGTTGGGGCATATCTTTGAGAAACTGTTAAAGGTATGCTCTGCACGTTTTCTAGTATAATGCTAAAGAATTTTGTTTCTTTTTTTATAGCATAAGCCGGTAAACGAGCAGACGGATCACCTGATGGTAAGCAATCGGCGCCGCCCTTGGACACTCGAAACACCAAGGCGTTACAAGTGCGTTACCGGCCTTTTGGGCATTGGAAATTTGAGGATTGTGGATTGTCGATTCGGGAAACGGGGACTAGGGAGGGGGGTAATTGGGCCTTCGGTAATCTCACTCACACGACGAAACACAACGCAAGCGTTGTTTCACGTCGGCTTTCTGTGAGGCCGTGGTATCACTCCGGTCGAGCCACGGAAAAATGTAGTTGACTAAAAAGAAATAGTATTTTAGCCATTACTACAGTTTGTATAGCTATTTATTTACGCACATTACCACTATTAAATAAGCATGTAATCTTATTAACAGCATTGTATACTTTTAGACATAAACCGTAAGATTTAAATCGATTTAGCTACGTCTGTAAAACTATGCCAAATAATGTTCCACCCAAATGATTCATAGCAGTCAAACCCTTGCCTTGTGACGAATATTGATAGCTTCGGGCAAGTATTTGTTTGTAAAGATATATTTAGTGTTAAGCCGTATTTCTTTGAGTAAAAGGCTGACACAAAGACATCTTCTGTTAAAATGTTTATAATTGACAAGCGGAACTGAAACACGGACTTGAATTACCTAGGGCCGATTATTCAATCAACGGATAATTCTTAACTAGTAGAAAAAAATTGACATTTGACAGTTTTTAGTCCATTTTTTTAAGTTATTCCTCAGATAAAATTTAAAAGTACCTTTAAACTGTCAAACACCAAGCGGTCACCGGTGACCGCGACCTATTGTTCTTTAATTGTGTCTATAAAACCGGTACTCGACGAGTTAACCGATGAGCATGCATGAAAAGACTGACCACTATTGAGTAAGCTAAAGACGTAGGTATTGAAGAATCGTAGCAATTAGCGTTCCATAGTCTCTGCTTACCCCCATAGGATGTCTCCTATGGGCGAGGTTATGTATGTATGTAACTGGCATTGGAAGAATCGGCTCTTAGATATTCAATGTGATTGGTCTCATTCATTAATTTGAGATTCACTTTGCAAACTATGCAGAAGCCTGAAACGAAGTGATTTCATAGAAAACCAAAGTTTCTGTAATAGGGTAGATGCCTAATTTTTATTTTAATGTCGGTCTGGTAGATTGTTTTAAATCATTACATACGTATTTTTTATTTTCTTACAGAAACGAATACTTTCGACGACATATTGATTTGAAATGTCGCCTGACGTCACTTCTATGTACCTACATTTTATACGTAGAAATGACGTTTTAGCCCCCACTCCTAAAATTTGATTCGTTTTATTTAAGTATTGTTTTATTATACGACAAAATAAAAAAATACGTGTCTAATATTCTTTAATTACCTAGCTTACGGACTCATTCGATTTTTAATTTTCATACCCTGTCATCATCAATTTCATCAAAAATGTGCAAAGTATTCTAAAATAAAAAGAAAGAAAATCCTGGTAGAATCTGAACTAAACATTGTGTTGAGAGAAAATATTAATTTGGTTGACCGAATTCTATGACGTAAAAAATGGTGGGTCAGTTGTGTCATCAAGAACAGAAACATTCACACGATGTGATTACAATGTGTCTCAGCTGTTATGAGAATATTCACACCAAACATGTCACAGTCAGAATCGGGACGAATGATCGACCCTGCTTCATTTTAAAACGGAGATAGTGGTCAAACGTCGCCCCATCAATTATAAAAAAAAAAAAAAAAAACAATCGTCAGATGGTCAACAAATGCCAAAATATTGATAACAGTATATTTTGCTTGCTGCATAACCCGTGTCGCCAGTTTGGATTCCCACGCGGAACTACGCTACGCTAGGGTGATCCCTAAATTGGTGTTCCGGGTCTAAATTGATGTGTTTCACATCATCATATGACACAGGAGACCACCATAATAACGCAGGAGAATACCCTACACTGGGTCATTTAAAAGAAGTAGTTAACAACAACAAAAGGAGGCAACGAGCAGACGGATCACCTGATGGTACGCGATCAGCGCCCCCCTAGACACCCGCAACCCCGAGCGTACGGCGCGTCGCGTTCCGCGCGCGCCTCAAGGAGCCATCAGACCACCACAGATGGGGCCCAATAGGGCCGATGCCGATTCGGAGTCGCAGAGAACCTAACGGGTAACCGGGGCTCCGGCTCGACGTGCAGGAGAAGGAACGGGGTGGTTTTTAGTCAGTAAGAGTCTGACACTCCCTTCCGCCTCACCCAGGCGGAAGCAGTCATTCGATGATTTTCCCCCCTTAAAAAAAATTAAAACAAAAAAATGACACCCGCAACACCTGAAGAGTCAAAAATTCACAAATTCCCAGAAGTATTATAAGTATAGTCAATACACGGATGAATAACACAAATAAGATGCAAATATCTAGCCAACATGCGTAACGAAGAAAATATACAATTCCTACTCGCTGGAGAGAGTTAACGCCATACTGGTTTGCTGTCAGTGTCACAGAATCTCATTAGATACGAAAATTGTAGACCATTTATACTTCTGCCTAGCAGACTTGGTCTAGCAATCGCAATTATTAAGTGTAAGCTCTGCTATACTTCTCTTTAGGATTTCTAAACCTTTGAAAATAACATTTCTTATGCAATATAATAAGTAATATGTAATAATCTAGATTCTGGATCATAATCATCATCATCATCATCATATCAGCCACAGGACATCAACTGCTGAACATAGGCCTTAGATTCCTTAGCCTCCCATAGATTCTGGATGCCTAACAAAATTTATAATAGTAAGTACATAAACTACATACAATGAACAAAAATATAAATACATCTTATGAAAAATAAATTAATGGTTATGTTTTGTTATGTGATGATAATATTATTAGTAATTTAATTATATTATATTTTGCTCGATATGTTGCCGTGCCCTAGTCGGGTTTTATGTTGAAACTGTACCCCATATAACACCAATTGTACACATGATATGCAATAAAAGAATTTAAGTTTGAATTTTAATTTAAAAGATATATTTATTTAGATTTGTGGCAGAGACTTGGCAATGCTGTCTATATTTTATGTAACGAATTTTTATACATACTCATGCGGTTATCATTGGTTGCTTACTGTGTTCGCATTACAAAAAGAGGAGTGTCTAATAGAGTTTAATGACAAGATTGTTTATTCTGAAATTTAAACTATTAATAGATATTGGTTTTTTTTCGACTCGTCGTGCAGGAGAAGGAACGGGGTGGTTTTTAGTCAGTAAGAGTCTGACACTCCCTCCCGCCTCACCCGGGCGGGAGCAGACATTCGATGATTATGCCCCCTTAAAAAAATAGATATTGTTTTATATTGTAAACATGATGTGAATGAACACAATGCCAAAACATAATAATGTTTTCAATTCAATATTTTGGCCAAGTGACAATTTCAATTGTACTTGAGGTTAAATACATTTGCTGTAGACGCCAAATCGTGTAGAAATGATTTCATAAGAACAAGATACTCACATAAAAAATATTTACAAAATATTTTAAACAAGACTGCCTCGTTGGCAGAGTGGTCGCAAGTGCGACTGACGGGCAAGGGGCCTCGGGTTAGATTCCCGGGACGGGCAAAGTTAGTATATGGCAAGGCACACCCCCTATTACATGGGACTCGTAACATTAATAGTAAAAAGTGAGTGTTACATTGTACAGTGGCATAATTTACACCTCTGCCTACCCCTTCGGGGATAAAAGGCTATGATGATGATATTTTAAACAAATGTAAGTGCCCAATTACCCTCCCCCCCCCTTTCCTCAATCCCTAAATCCCCAACATTCCTCAAATTCCTAATCCCAAAAGGCCGGTAACGTACTTGTAACGCCTCTGGTGTTCCAGGTGTCCATGGGCGATGCCGATTGCTTACCATCAGGTGAGCCGTCTGCTCATTTGCCGGCTTATCCCATAAAAAAAAGTTTGTTCATAATTCCGTCAAAACGTAAAGAAAAACGTTGTCGGTGTAACATTAGTAGCTATAATACAACCAAGACTAGATTACAATGTTTCAGTAATTGTATGGTTTCTACACACACGTTAGTTTTTTATTGAGTCGCATAAGTGCCGTGGCGCATTTTAAAGTAGTGAAAAAATTATAGATTTTTATAGATATCGCCATTTTAAACACAACAAAAATGCATTTTGTCACAAGAACATCAACTAACGTATTATGAAGTGACTTAGCCGGTTTTGATTAACATTGTACACATATATGCGATATCTGCAAAAGTTTAATTTGTGAAAAGGGCAAAGTTTATCAACGACCACGAATAACAAACGTAGCTAACTCACAATCACAATAACTCGTTTGTTTAATTGAAATAATAATTTTACCTCTGTTTAATGAATTAGATGAAGAGTTCTATGATTGTAATTTAAAAACGACCTTAAAATAACCACAAAAAGGTATATAGTATGATTGTTTTGTACAAGGGCCTTGACTACAGCAGTCGACTCTTTATACGGGCTGTTGATATGAATATGACTGACTGACACCTCATCTCTCATCGGTTTTATCGTCTTCAATGGTATTTGTAAAACAGTACATCACAACACTAGTAAGTAACTAGAGATTTTTTTAAGGGGGGAAAATCATCTAATGACTGCTCCCGCCTGGGTGAGGCGGGAGGGAGTGTCAGACTCTTACTGACTAAAAACCACCCCGTTCCTTCTTCTGCACGCCGAGCCGGAGCCCTGGTAACCTGTTAGGTTCTCCGCGACAAGTACCTAGAGATTAGGACTCTTTCTGCTACCACAGCACCAAAGTTTATTGACAACGGTTCAGCAATTTAAACGCAAAAGCGTTACAAACATTAAAAAAATAAAACATCTCATTCGCATAAGCAGGTCTAGTCCAAAAACCTGATATCAAAATTATAAACGTTTTAATATAAAATTAGTGTAGAAACAAACAAGTTACTGGCAGATTACAAAATCCCAAATGTACGCATAATTTTGGATAATCTGTATTGCCATAGACTATGCATAATTTATGAGGCATGTAACACTGTCCTAGCGCGTCTGGGCAAGGTCGCGGCGATGACGTGCATTATTTTATCTGTGGCTAGCGCAGCGTAAAGTAACATTTAAATTATTGGATCGGGTGTACGATACACTGTAAGTGGGGCAATCTATCCATGTTATCACCTTATCATGATCTGATAATCTTCATGTACAAAATGGAAGGTTTTGGCAATCTTCCGTTTACCGAAATTGAAAATAATCTTTTCTTGAATTTGTATATTCCAGTCCCAGACAAATAGTATTAAAACACACAAGATATTTAATTTTAGAATGTCATAAGTATTTTCAATACTCTACTATAATTTTATTCTGGCGAAAAAATATACCTTTTTTGAGGGACCAAAATAATCCAATGACTTCTCCCGCCTTAGGTTAGGCTAGAGAGAGTGTCAGACTCTTACTGACTAAAAACCACCCCGTTCCTACTCCTGCACTTCGAGCCGGAGCCCCGGTTACCCGTTAGGCCTTCCGCGGCTCCGTACCGGGAAAAAAAGTATACATAAGTACTGTAGTGTATTTCTAACTTTTCATTTCCAGTTTCAATTTGCGTAGACTCCTTTTTCTAATTCTCTATAGGACGGTCAGATAAGTGTACCGATATTCTGTCTCAAAATCTAAAAGATAGACGAATTTAAAGATCCCAACTAGCGGAATCAAGGAAAACAAAGACAAATATCTTGTTCTAGATAAAGTTATTTTGTACGTCGAGAAAGTTATATCAAAAAACGATTAAGATTAAGTTAAAACGTCACAAGATGGAGAATGTACAATTATCAAGTAATTACCCGTTGATAAGCATTCAATACAGTGGTTACGACTTTCATTCACTCGCATTATATGCAAATAGAGTTGGACAAATGAAATTGCAGGGTCGTTGATCGATCGTGAATGTTGAATATATATTTGGCGGTTTTTACGTAAAACTGCAGCACGTATTTTAATGGAATTTGATATTGGGATAGATTGATTTTGAGTGTCGTTCTCTTGGGTAGACTTGTGTCCTCCAGAGGATGAAAACGACTGATATTTTGAATCATTGTCACTCAGCCTATTGCCAGATTCACATCACGATCCGATGATGACGATGATATAATAATATCCTTAGTTGAGTCGTGGTACCTATTTTACTAACAACAGAGACCTAATTACCTAAGTCTGTGCCACTGATGACACACAAATGTTGTAAACATTTGACTCGGAATTGTAAAAATAACATTTTGAGCCTGACCTAGATTCAGGCACAGAATTCTGTCAAGGTGACTAAAAAAATGTGTTTAGGGTTGAGCCCAGACATAATCGTGTGTACTTAGCGTGTCTAATGCCTAGACGCATAAATAAAATTCATAGGTCTAATACTGTGGCTATTTTAAGCTACAGAAAAAAATGTAGTGTTGTTATTTTTTATTTCGAATGAGAGTGACGATGCTGTATTTAATTCAATTGGGGTTTGAAAACTAAGAATGAAACGTGTATAAGATGCTGTAAATACCGCCTTCTTTCCGCCACCGCCATAGTATAAAGAAAACTAACTATTCTTTATACTATGCCACCGCGGAGGGCCCAGGAGAAAATCGCGTTTTGAGTCCTTAGCTTTAGAGATCCATTCTACTATTTAAACTGTCAAACACCAAGCGGTCACCGGTGACCGCGACCTATTGTTCTTTAATTGTGTCTATAAAACCGGTACTCGACGAGTTAAATGTGATCGAATATAGAAATAATCTATATATGTATATAAAAGAAAGTCGTGTTAGTTACACCACTTATAACTCAAGAACGGCAGAATAGATTTGGCTGAAAATTGGTAGGGAAGTAGCTTAGAGCCAGGAGACTGACATAGGATACTTTTTGACCAACATTTTTTTTTTACTTTTTACCGAAAATCACGAACGGGGACGGGAAAAAATGGGATTACGCGTACGAAGTCGCGGGCAGAAGCTAGTTATTAATATACATACAGTTGATTAGAGTTAGCTTAAAAGATTAGTAGATTACTTACCATTATCATTAAGTGAATGGTTAGGCGTAGCACCCATACTCGAACTGGAACCTTTCAGTATGGCGTTGTGTTGTCGCAAATTCTCCAGCTCCACTGTAAATAAGTTTTAGTTAAATATGTATAATGTATATCGTAGTATCGCGCATAATATAGAGGTATAATAGTTTATAATTGCTGAATGCTTTTCACCATTTAATTTCATGAAAATCCCTGAAGGGGTAGGCAGACGGTGCACAATACGGCGCTTAATGCCACTGTACCACCTACCTAATACCCTCTTTTCACTATTTATGTTATAAGTCCCATGTAATAGGGGGTGAGCCTATTGCCATATACCGGACACAATTTCAGACTCCGTGCTACCACTGAGAATTTTTAAAAAACCCAGAAATATTTTGCCCGACCCGGGAACCCGAGACCACTTCGGCAGTCGCACTTGCGACTGCTCGGCCAATGAGGCAGTCAATGTGTGTCAGTCATGAATCCCACATACCTAATACTGGAAAAATTTGATGTTTATATATCTAGATAGGACACAAGAGGAAAATGTAAAAATTAGTATTCATGTAGGTACTAATTAATTCCATAACATTAGTGCATTAAGAGATATGTTATATTTTCCATTATCCTTGAAAAGCTCTATATTTGGTTGCAAATACCACAGAATCCGAGTAAACAAGCCGTAAGGTAATTGCAGTAAAGGAAAACGCTTATGAATAGTAATGAGTTCATTGTAATTGTAATTATTGTAAAAACATACACATGTTAACAGTTCTTGTAGTAGAAACATTATAATTATGTGGGCAGTCAATGATATTTCACATATAAAGCCTATAAGTAACCACTGCTGACCAAATGCCGCTTCTTGCATGGAGGTTTAGCATTAACTTCTTGAGTGCAGGTATATGCCGGTGCTCAAGTGTGGGAGAGCCATGCTTCGGCACGAATGGGCCGGCTCGACCGGAGTGATACCACGGCCTCACAGAAAACCGACGAGAAACAACGCTTGCGTTGTGTTTCGTGGTGTGAGTGAGGTTACCGGAGGCACAATTACCCCCTTCCCAAATCTCCCCAACAATCCTCAAATTCCTTATCCCCAAAAGGCCGGTAACGCACTTGTAACGGATGTTGCGTCTTGGTGTTCTAGGTGTCCATGGGCGACGCCGATTGCTTACCATCAGGTGATTCGTCTTCTAGATTACCAACTTATACCATAAATAAATGAATAGAAAATACCATAGATATAATAAAGAAGAATTTTTTAATATTCCTATGGAAAATACATTGTGTCTTCCAGAGATCTATTTTCCAAGTTAATTATCATGCTTGCTTCAGTGCGAGGTGATAATTCCAAATGTCTAATTAAAAATTATATACCCAGGTCTCTCAACAAATAATACAAAATTCATGAAATATCTGATGTAATGTTCAAATCCGTGAGGGTATTAACCAACATTCAAGAATAGACTAAGAAACAATAGATTACCTAGTTAGTAGGTAAACTACGACCAAGACAGTCATAATTACTGTCTGAGTATTTTTACTGCACAAATAACTATGTTTCTAACTTGTTACAGTAGGAACCAATCATTAACAACAACAATCGACGGCATATGAGTGACCACTGCTGACCAAAGGCCTCTTCTCACACGGATAAGGTTTGAGTATTAAACCCAACGCTTGCTCAATGCAAAAATGAAATTACAATTTATTTACAAGCTTAGGTAGGTTGCTTTATGATGTTTTCCTTTACTGTTTGTCAGTCATGTCTCAATAATCTAAGAAAGTACATATCACTCGGAAAAGGTCACATTGGCATTTGCTGTTGGTAGGTTTGGCACTTACAAGGTTTAAGATGCCCGCTTCTCATGTACGAGAAGCGGGCATCTTAAACCTTCAGACCACCATGACTTATGTAACCAATCATACATCAGAGCAATTTCTAATGGAAATACAAAATCATTTACGTATGTCTGCCTCGTTGACCGAGTGATCGCAAGTGCGACTACCAGGCAAGGGGTCTCGGGTTAGATTCCTGGGTCAGGCAACGAATTACTGGGTTTTAAAAAAAAATCTCAGTGGTAGCACGGAGTCTGGAAATGTGCCCGGTATATGGCAATAGGCTCACCCCCTATTACATGGGACTCATAACATAAATAGTGAAAAGTGGGTGTTACTTCTGTGTGCACCTCTGACTATCCTTTCGGGGATAAAAGCCGTGATGTTATGTTATTTGTGTATTATTGCATTTTTCTTTTTAAATTTGCAGGCTGTTAAGGTAGAATATGGTTAATGTACACTATTTTGTATAAGACATTTTCTTTAGTACCCATGTTCGCAAAAGAATAAATGATTATGATTATTTTGATAATTGATAAGCCAGAAGTAGGCGACCATTTACTTATGCTATTGAATACTGTCCTCTGAGAATAGGCTAGGCCAGTAAGACAATGGACTTGAAAACTGAATATTATGCTACACAACTATAGTAAGTTATACAAGAACAAGTTAATTGGGTTTCATTAGTTTTTGTTTTCTTTAAACTGGCTTTAAAACATCCTAATTAGACATCTTTAAAACATCCTAATTAGACATCTTAGCATTTTGGAGAACATAGTTAGGATTAGATAATATATATTTTTGAAAAAGTTTCCATTTCAAACATAATTGACTGTATTGGATGAATAATAATTTATTATGGTAACACATACAGTTTATGGGTTATCAACACTTGTACTTGTAAATCGATCACTACCGAAAAATGTACATACCTAGGTACAATAACAAAAAAGAATTAACAAAATCAGTTTATAAATAACAAGAGATATCGGAGAACAAACATAAAAAGAGCATATGTATATACGGTCGAATTGAGAACCTCCTCCTTTTTTTGGAGTCGGTTAAAAAATTAATGCTGACAGGTGATGGTAGAAAACTAGTAGTATGAGTATTCACAGTAGCATACAAAGACACAGTTTAAAGTAAATATGGTGACATTATTAAGTCTCGTATTTGAGACATTGTGATCACAATCTTATCCTTGAAAATACTTTGTGTGGGAGATTTAAATGTAGGTAGTGGTTTGAAAGGATGGCCTTAAGCGCATGTACATGGTATGCTGTGGGTTGATTTGACTCATATGTGTACAGCTTTATGTTATGCAGTTTAGTGTTCAAGGTTATTTGAAACTGATTTGATTTAGGAATGTAAAGATGTAGTTTAAGAACTCAGTTAGAAATAGATCTATGTATTGTGATATGTAAAATCTGTCTGTATCCTGTGTGCCTATTGATTTTTAGTAGTTATTCGGTATACCTTATTAGATTAACTGTAAAACCTAATAAGACTAATTCTTTTCCAAGAGTCTACATGAAACAATAATGTACAGAAACAAATAGTCTAAATGACAAAGACTTACCTTTGGTATCCATTAAGTCTTTGCTCAGTCTTTCATTTGCCATTTTCAGGGAAGATATTTGGTCTAAGAGACATGTGAGGAGTCTGCTGCCAACCTGGCTGCCAGACATGTCAGAACTGGCTTCTGATCCAGAGTCCACATCACCATTAGCAGGCCTCGCTACATCAGGCAAACCTCTCACACAAGGGTCACTGAACCTCCTAGCATTGTTCCCTTCATCCTTTTCATTTATATTAATCTCACTGTTGGAGTTTGTATCACCAACAGACGTCACTATTGGGGGTAAACTAGCAAAATCCTGGCTGTCAGTCAAATTCTTTGGTTGCAAATAATTCATGGCGTGCGAGTGGGTCGGGGTCCCTTGCCGAGAGGCGTTGTTCACCTCCTCAGCCTTGTTATCACTGCGGCGCCGCAGTCTCGGCCTCTGTACTTGAATGCTTTTGTTTACATTCTGCACGTACCGATACTCAGGCCCATAGAATGGCATCATAGGTGGGTTGCAGTATGAAGGCAGTGTGGGCAGAGACATTGGCTCAGGCCCACAGCCGTACATGTGTCTATAAGGATCGTAGCCGGGAGCAAACTGAGAACTACCCATCGCATAGTGCAAGTTCGGATTTACGTAAGTATCGTACGTATCCATGCTAGGTGTTGACTCTTGTATGTGGTGCATTGTCTTATCTAACCATTTCGACAGGTACGAGCCTCTGCTCCCACGAGATTTCTTCCGCTTTCCCAGGGAGCCGTTATTATTCGACGGTTTGCCGTTCACTTGTTTTGGTGTAGTAGCCATTAATGTCACTATTAAACACTCGAACACAGTTACGAAACACAACAACCGCACTTCAACTCCTACTTCCCAAATTCAGGACACTAATATTTTCCATTTACGCTGAATAATTCAAAACGCGCACAAAAATAACTTTATTCAATTCGACCGACTTGGGCAATGAATTATAAATGACGTTTACTGTCATTTTGTTTTTGTAATTTCTAATACAGATTAAAAATAACGAATAGCAATACGTTACACGTACGTTTTACGGGATATGTCGGATTACGGATCTGTTTTAATTTTAATAAAAGAGCTAATATTAATTTTATTTTGACATAGAAGTAAAATTTAAATTTCAAATAATATTCCTTTTATCAGAAACAACTCGAATATTGCAGAGTGGCGCGAGCGCTATCTATGATTTGAGACACGTACTTCTATACACAACGCGCTTTTACTATTGTTGGCACGATTAAATAGATGTCGCTACTTGAAACGTTTCTCTTTTGAGCTAAAGATTTGTCGTTTTGTTTTAGTTGAAAGTATTAGATTCGTAGAATGGCTCTATGTATATAATATCCAATTCCTACTAATTTATTATTCTCATGACGTTGTCCATTTAATTAATTTAGTTTTAGGTTTTAGATAAGGTAAGTGCCTAGCGAACCGTAATCGCTCCTATGGCTCGCAAGTCACAACATAATATTTTTTAGGCAGATAGGCTTACATTGAATTTCTTATTTCCCACATTAGGATTATCTTTTGTGTCGGGTGGGTGAACAAACATAAGTTCACATACACAAGACACCGAGACCTGAAACAACAATCTGTGGATCACAAAAAAGAGTTGTTCCGTGCAGGAATCGAACCCGCGAGACGTTGGGCGGCAGCCAGTTGGCCATTCACCGCACCAACCGTGCAGCAGCATTTATACCTAATAGATAAATTAATACATAACATCACGCCTTTTATTCCCGAAGGGTTACGCCGAGGTGTACATTATGCCACTGTACCTACAATGTAACACCAACTTTTCAGTATTATGTTATGAGTTCCATGTAATAGGGGGTGAGCCTATTGCCATATACCGGGCCCAATTCCAGACTCCGTGCTGCTACTGAGAATTTTTTTTAAAAACCTTGTAATACTTTGATGGACCCGGGAATCGAACCCGCGACTCCTTTCCCGAGTCGCACTTGCGACCTTATTACATCTTTAATTATAAGAACAAAATGTTATTCCTAAAATTGTACTTTTGTTAAATAAATAAATAAATAAAACCACTCGGCCGATGAGGCAATAAATAAATAAATCTTTGTTGTCAACTACTATCCTACAGTCATTAGTTTTCCTCAAGTTAGGTCAGGTATGTACCAAACGAACAGCATGCATTGGAGGAATTTGCATCAATTTTCCCTGAGATAAGAATTAAAACAAGCATATGCAATGACAGAAATTTATTCTCTAAATATATAAAACAATTTGATTTATATTATTTACAATTTAATTTTTATTTTAATAATAATTGGTGTGAATTTACGAGATGATTTGGGACGTATACATTTGTGAAAAAACAGCTAAAGGACATGTAAACATTTTACAAATCCTATGGCACATTTATGGAAAGAAGATAATATATTTTTATACAGAAACAACACAATAGAAATGTGCAAAAACAATGAAAATTGGCAGTAGTCACTTATATCAGAGTACACTTAAAATTAAAACTAAAGTTATAATTACTGCAACAAACTCGCTTTCAAAAATGGTAATATTGTGTTAACAATTTCAAAAACATGACTTACACACTATTTCTTTATACTTTATTTTTAGAAAACCTTTATTTCTTTTTATTATCATCTTATAAATCAAATTGATCAATTATCGATCTATAACAATCCCGTCTTAAATTAAATTTGTATAGCTAAATATTTGTGTAAATCTATCGAGATTTAAAATTATAAGAAAAAAATAATTGCATTAATTCATTTAATGATAGCATGTTTACTGATTGTACTTAATATGTACGGCATTTAATGCAAACATTTCTATCGCTAGAAACGTTTTTAAGACAAGTATTGTCTACCTAACAATAGGCAAATAACCTGGTAATAACATGTCTAAAAAAATTCAACCTAGCTCTATTTTCTCCCTACAAAATAGTCTTAACAAAACTATTAATTTTAATCTTCTAGTTCAAAATTAATATTGTAAAACAGTTTCAATGTTTGCAAGTAAAAAATAGAACGAGGGTGATTGTTTTTTATTTCAATTGTCATAAAACAAACACATAAAATTATTCGAGTGTGCGTGGACCTTAAGGCACGGTTCGAAAATCATCGTCAGTAAGACGTGTCCCAAATATAGGACACAAGGCAGTGGATAGCGAATAAATAAATATAACATCTGTTGAATGGAGAAAAACAAGATTATGATTTCTTAAACCTAAATGAGTATACGGTTTGATCATAAAATATAAATTAGAAGTCTTACATAGACTTGTCGCTTAACGCTATTTTTTATATAATCTTTGAAAAATGTTCAAATGATTTTTATTATAAATGAAATCTTTGCCGATTGTAAAAATATATGTAGGTATGTACTAAACTATATCGAATACCGTAATCCAATTTTCTTTTATTGATACATAATAGTACAATTATTTATTTCTAAATGTGCGAAAGTAAACCAGACAGAAATAAACTACGCAATGAATGTGAAAATTAAATTTAAACATATTTCTAATAAAATTTTGTTACATTATGTATATCAAAATTCATAACAATTTCTTTTTAAATATGATTGACACACACATCACATGTATTTAATTCTGCCTCGTTTTTTACGCTACATAACATAATTATGTATATATAACTAATTATGTAAACTAGTATGATACAGCTAAACACGTTCAGCAAATATCTTTAGACATACAAAATACATATAATTCATTAAAACGTACACAATATATAATAATCTGTTAATCTAAGTCACATCGTTGCGTACCCAGGATTCCACGCATACAGAATAAAAATACATTTTCTAGTCTGAATTATGTATGAAAACATTTTGCAAGGCGAGTGTCTGTACAATGAAATATCGCATGGAATCCCTTTGGCTTATATTGTATCTCACCCTTTGACCCTGCATACATATGAGTGATTTCATAAAGAATAAACATCAAATAACAATTTCTATTGGAATGTTTGTGTGAAAAACTGAATTCTAAAATGTGAACTATGTATTCCAGTATTCAATCAATACACAAGTGTTCCAAGGGAAATAGAAATCACTCCGGAGCCTCCTATTTTGGTATAGACTAAACTAGTTTGACGTCGTCTAGTGCAGTGAGGAGGTCGCTGGCTCCTTGGATGATGTCGGTCTCGCTCCAGAAGTCATTGGTCGTCAGGGGTACGTTATTGTCAAGCAAGATTTCTGGTGTCTGAAGGGGGAAGCTTGGGCTGGGCTGCATTTTATTGTTGAGGTAGGGGTCACAGCCCTGCATCACGCCGACTGGAGACACCATTCTGCTTCCCGGGCTGTATTGTTGGAACTTACCTACGGGGGACATGGACTGGGGAGTGTACGGGCTCATCACGCGCTCCCTCTGAGCTGGGCTCATTGCCGGGCTGTGCGTGTAGCTATTGGGGCTAGATGGCAGGGAATACATGGGGCTTACATTAAGACTCAGTGGGGACATGGGGCTGCTAATATTTGACCGGATAACCGAGCTTATGATTGGAGAGTTGTTGCGCATCATCTGCTTATGTTGCATGTCTTGTAATAGGTTTATTACGGGGAGTGGGATGTTATTCATGTTGTTATTCTGTGGGATTGGTTGCCTAGCCATTTGGTAGTTGGGGCGCCTTTGTGGGGTCTGTTGTAGGCGTTGTTGCTGCTGCTGCATGTCCTGGAAATATACAAAGGAATATATTAGAAAACAGAAATATTTCCAAATCAATAAACTGTGATAATTAACGGTGTTCAAATAACTGTTTGCTGGAAAATGCTGAAAAGAAACAAAAAATGGTTCATTGCAAAAAGATGCTCGTGATTTTGTAAGAAAAGGACAAAATACCAGCTTTAACCTTGACAGTGAAACATCTCAGCCTTAACGAATGCTTTAGTTGGTACGAATTTACATAATGTTGGAGCTGAGACCGAGATTTGGACAAACGTACATTGTTATGCAAACATGACTATAGTAAACAAGTCGAGTAATTTAATTGACTGCACGGTTGGTGCGGTGGCTGGATAACCGGCTGCCGTGCAACGTGTCGCGGGTTCGATTCCCGCACGGGACAACACTTTGTGTGATCCACAAATTGTTGTTTCGGGTCTGGGTGTCATTGTGTATGTGAATTTGTATGTTTGTAAACGCACCCACGACACAGGAGAAAATCCTAGTGTGGGGCAACGTTTTTTTAAGAAAAAAAAAAAAAAAAAAAAAAAAAATTTTCTGACCACGTGACACGGTTAGGAGGCAGACCTAGAGATCTAGTGGACTGGGCATTATAATTTATGATCGTAGAATTGAGCCAGTGTCTGTCTCTTGTTGTGAATAATATACGGATAAACGAATGTGCTTACACGCAATTTTAGACACTATAAAAATAAATTGAGAGGTTTCAAATGACAGAGATCTAAATAATGAACGAGGTCTAGATTCTGACTCTAATGAAACGTTCGCATCTAAACTATTGTTCACTCAATTATTAAAAAACAGATAGTCCCCATTCTTTGTTTTAAATACTGTACGGAGCCATACATTTCCATACATTTTCCCAGAATGACAATGTAGGTAACACCCCCATGTGCAAAATTGTATCGAAATCGGTACAGACATTTTGGAGTAATAAACATTATAAACTGCTTGAATGCACTGATATAGGACACAATAGAAAATATATTATGTCTCGCGTGGATTCACGTTTTAGACTCATGAAAGATTGAACTATCCTTCTATAATTTACCTATTAGTTGCTTTTGTATCGTGCAGTCTAGTTTAAACCCCATATAGTTCACGTCACTCTAATTTAAAAGTAGTTTAATATAATTTGAGGTGGACAAGTTTGTGGTGCATTGCGGTCGAAGTGCTGTGACTATTGATCGATAAATAATAAGTAATAACCTACTGACATATAATGGTAGTACATGATTTTATTATTGTTGAATGCGGGCTTCTGATTGGCTGACGGTTTGTATTGTTATACTGTGATATAGTATCTTATTTATAACTCTCATATCATTATAAATTGCTACTTGATCAGACTTCAGTACGACAAAGTACGGAACTAGGGTTTTATTCCCAAATAGGCGACAGGCGATATGATATTCCTTTTTTTTATATTTGATGGGCCGACGTTTGACCACTATCTCGCCTGGTGGTAAGCGATGATGCGGTCTACGATGGAGACGTCGTCCCATAAGCAACCGATTCACTCGGAATCCATTTGTTATTAGCAGGACGAATTTGGATATTGCAGTCTGTGGTTTAGCCCTAACATTGTCTTATAAGAATGTTTCATAATCTATGTCAACTTTTTTCAAAGAGAGACGAAGAATGGTGCCTGTTTAGGGTTCAGTAATTACTCATTACTTAGGTATTCTAGGTAAACAGGCTTACAAGACGATATTAGGAAACCTTCTAACCTAAAAACATTACCTAGTCTTTGCTTAAACCTGTCTGCTATCGGGATTTCATTAGGTACTCGTAACTAATATTGATTTTCTTCGACTTACTTTTCTCTTATTGTTTTACACTCAAAATTGGTTTAATATTTCCAAAAAGACTACCTATTTTACAACTCTTTACAACAGCTAGACCAGTTAACAGTTTATTACCAACTCATATATTAGATGTCTTGAAGATATCAAAGTTTGCGTGTTATATGTAATGGTGCTTACTACTTATACGTTTCTTACTAAAATACTGCTATCATAAAAATGTTCTATTAGATTTTATTTCACATTTTAGTGCAAATTTTAGCACCAAACATTGAACAGCCGTGCTTCATACAGCTTTTATACTAAACTATTTTTATATGAGTGTAAAAAATGGCGTAGCAACGGGTGCTATTTTAGTATTTTCTACATTATCTAAACCTATCTTTTGTAGCGATAGAAGTTCCAGAAGTGGTTTCAGAAGCAGTGGAATCCTAAATACGTATTTCGATCCTTCATCATTCACCTACATATATGTACCACATTCATTAATATCTTATAGTATGCTCATTACTTGAGGGTCATCAATTCTGTTCCCTTTCATTAACGAAAACTAAACTTTGAACTTTCTCTACAACCACCCAAAACGAAGTTCTTCTTAACGTATAATTCTAGCACCTTCTACTGCCATATGAACAAAAATGCATTTTAAAAGTCCTTGAATTCAGTTAAAACGAATGAACCAAGTAGAATCATTAATTTCAATCAAGACAAGAAGATATGAGATTCATTCTCCGTAACAGTAATTGCGGTATCCGGAACATTGTCGTACCAAATATCTTTGGAACCGATCTTACTATCTAGGTACCGATCTCTTTACAAGGGATCAATATTAAATAATTTCTTACTACACTATATAAAAAAAAAAAAAAAAAAAGTTATCTGCGTCAACTTTGATCATAACGTAACTAGCATGCAGATTGCAGGCCTAAAGAAACGCCTTATCGCAGAATTAATCTATGACGCTTTTGTTCAAAGTCCTCTAAGGAAAGTTTCAAAGAGAATTGGAGAAAAGAAATATATCGAGACAAGGGCTCAAGTCAAGCCGTTTTATAGTTCCACCCTATCTCCGGACGGCCATAATGCTCGAAGGGCGAGCTTAGAAGGGATTTTTCTTTTACTTATTGCCCTTAAGACTTCCACAAACAATTCCGTCTCAACGCTAAAAAGTTTTCGTAACAATTTTAGTGAAAGTTATACGTATTTCGTATTAAATTCCCGAATGTCTGGAGGGAAATGAGGCTGTATTAATAATTCTGCTGGTGTGATATTTGGGCAACTATGTCTTAGGCAGTGATTTATACACATAACATCACGCCTTTTATCCCCGAAGGGGTAGGCAGACGTGCACATAGAAGTAACACCCACTTTTCACTATTTATGTTATGAGTCCCATGTAATAGGGGGTGAGCCTATTGCCATATACCGGGCACATTTCCAGACTCCGTGCTACTACTGAAACTTGTTTTTAAAAAAACCCCAGTAATACTTTGCCCGACCCGGGAATCGAACCCGAGACCCCTTGCCCGGCAGTCGCACTTGCGACCACTCGGCCAATGAGGCAGTGATTTATAGTCGGATGAAAATTATTAACTTTAGAAGAGAGAGGGAGTTAGAATAATGTATCACGGATTCTACAAGTTGTATTCTGCCATATTGGAACTATCTAATAATTAACTATTAAAAATGCGAAAGTTTGTCTGTTGCTCCTTCAAGTCAAAATGGCTGAAGAGATAGGGATTAAAGTAACAGGGTAAAGTATGGTCTAAAAGAACACATAGGCTAGGCTAGGCTATTTTTATCCTACAAAAACGCAAACGAAGCCGCTGGCACAACCTAGTTGTTCACAGTTGTTGTGTGTGTCAGTTGTTCTGTCCTTAATTACAATAATTACATTCAAAGTAACTATTCGGTTACAACAGGCTGAATACGCGATAACCTCGTGTTTTCCACACTTTGTCACACAAATAGGCGTGCGTAGTTTTCTTTTTAAAATGTTAATTTACGCAGATAATATTCATTTGTTATCTATCGCGTTACAAAATTGCTATTGTAGATTTTGAAGAGGAATTTGTATATTTCTCGTAAATGTAATAGATTATTTATAACATAAGATTGTCTTTTTTATTCCCAGTTTGTCTAACCTCTTTTAAATAAGGAACGCCTTTGCAAGGATAGGTTAGACACTTAGCGACGGTATGGTTTTCACTAACTTATACAGTATAAAAGGGGTTACTTTATGACCTCCCTCAAACTAAGTATTTCTTAGTTAAGAGTTGGTTTAGGGATGGTTGGTGAAAACGGCTATTAGTTCCGTAAGGGTTAGGTAGGGGTGTCCTTTATGATGTGTAACACCCATTTTAGAATTAACTTTAAGAATTTCGTATGAGTGACTAGGCCAATTAGTTATGTTATGTAATTAGACCAACAGTTGCCATAAACTGGGTATAATTCAGATCCTATAAGCCATTAGAAAAAGGTTTCAAGATTCTTTTTTCTATAGTATCTAATTACCTATGATAAGACCTCTTCTTAATAACATGAGTTAATAATTCAAACTTTTTCTTTAAGGGGGGAAAATCATCGAAAAAGAAATCACTCAGTGAATATCCTAGTCGTAGGACCTCTCCCACCTGGGTGAGGCGGGAGGGAATGTCAGACGCTTACTGACTAAAAACCACCCCGTTCCTACTCCTGCCCTTCGAGCCGGAGCCCCGGTTACGTTAAGTCCTCCGCGGATCCGTATCGGCATCAGCCCTATTGGGCCCCATCCGAATAAATCAAGCTTAAGAACAGTTTCAAAACACATTTTCAATTAACCCTTATTCCTTGTCTTTCAGTACTTTAAGATAAGAGAATTAGAGAAGATACTAAAGGGAGATTATCACAAATCCTTCGATTAACTTTGGATCTTAAAAACCTTTCAAGTAATAATTATGTTTGTGTGTTTCTCTACAAGATAAACATTTTGGAAATTTATTTTAGTTTTGATAGTTTTTAGAATATAACTTAAATAAACTAAGTAATGTTTGTTTAATTTCCAGTTTTATACTCGTAATATCAAAACTGTTACGGACAAGTTAGTTACTGAATTATTTCTACGCAAATATTATATTATTATTCGGTATAAAATTTTCGTTGAAACCGTTCCACGTGGTCAGAATACTTGGAAAAAGCCTGCAAATAACATTTGTTTGCATTTTTCTGTTGTAGGAATAATTTAAATAATACGATTGCTTTTTCCATACTGTTTGCTCAAAGAATATCTTGCTGTTTGCGTCATGTACGGCGTGAATTTTAAATTTAAATTCACATTTTTTACATGTAGGTACAATCTTTTCATTATTATTATTTTGAATCATGGTTGAATGATTTTTTAAATTATATTTCAGGGCAATGTTTCACAGTAGGCTAAAGCTGATCAAGGATAGGATACAAGGAAATAAAAAAATCAACGAGCACCATTATAACCAGAACTATTTTTTGTCTCTTTTATTTTCTGATATTTTCTGTCAACTTCACAATATTTTACATCTCACCAGAAAAATAATTAACTCTCTAGTTACACTTCGTCCATACACACTATAAATATATTAAAATAACAATGATTATTCATTTTTATGTTTACGTCTTTTCAATTTCGATAAAATAGATACTGCGATGACGATTGCCAAGCATTATATTAATCTAAAAGTTCGAGTATCTCATAATTGCTTATATTTAGTTCGTCGCTGAAGACTCGTCCATATAAATACATGCTCACTGTAAATGTAAAGGCATCCAAATGTTCCATAGACGAACGTAAACTGTAATAGAACTCTAGTCTTTGTTCAACTTGTACTTTGTATCATTTGGCAGTGAAATGTTAAGACATAGTCACACACTGCCGGGGACAACACACTACAATAAACTCTCAACAGAATACATAACCTTCAGAACAATACTACAACATCACTAAACCTATATCGATGTGAAGTAAGATTACTCGACTAACGTAACTTACAGTAACGAATAAATAGCGATAACCTCTGAGTACTGGGTTAATATTAAAACTATTAATATTGACTGTGTTCCAGCTACGAACATAAGACTGAGTGCGCGGCGGGCCTCTCGCGGTAACTAAGTAACCTAGGAACGATACCGATACTTCACATAACCAACACGATATGCACGTTCAACTTAACCACTAAACTCAACAAACGATTGCTTCAAATATACACCATTAAACTAAATAGTAGGTTCACTAAACCTAACTATCTAAAACTAATTCTGATACGCCTCGAGGCGCAAGCACGAGATTGCAAGACCGTGGAAGATTAACTAAGCTAACCAGCCCTAGCAGTAAGATCCCTCGACTGGTCGTCTCACGTTGTACAGCCCTGCCTCGGCAGACGTTAATCTGGCTCGTGCCGACGCTTATTGTCTCGAAGGACTCCCGTCACTTACAATGCGACTTTCAGTCAGATACTGGTACATGTATACAGTAATATCACAAGTATCGACGGCACTGTATTTAACATTAATTCGTATTAAACCGACCAGAAAGTTCTGTGAGATAGCACTGGTATACAGGCAAATAGTTTGAACACTGGACGCGCGTTATCACAGTTTATTTAGAGTCGTGGAGGCGATCGCCTCAGGCTTTTGCTTTTTGTCGCGGCCGGCACTGCACCATGCAGATGTAGCCAGCATCGACGTCGCAGCCGCTCACCAAGAGGTTCATGAGGACGCTGGACGACTGTGCCGGCGTCGTCGACTGGACTGGTGATGGGCTGCGCTTTACACGCTTTGCGCACGGCTCCTGTTCTTGCTTCATTACTCTCTTGACACCCGTATCCCATGACGTCACACTCCTGATTGGCAGTAGTCCTGTTAAAGGTAATTCCAATATTATAAACATCACAGAAACCTAATGACCAATATAATTCACTTCACGTCACTTCTGATGTCTTATACCATACCTTGGTCAGAGTAAATATTGGTTATGAGATCTTGTGGTGGTGGTCCCGTTGTGGTGGTCGTTAATAGGCGTTGCAGTGCTGGGGCGGGGGAGGTGGTTTGCATCTCTGTGGGTTGTGGTCTTGCCATGCTTACGTTGTCGGGCAAGGCACCCCACATCACTGCAGGTTCCAAGACCGGCAGCTCATCGCTAGCCGGGATGAAGGGAGAGTGTCCATCATCAATGTCATTATCTGATCTGTTGCTGTCAAATGCATCAAGTGACAGCTCTGTTAATAACGAAGACTGTTCGCATGACGAATCGTTTTCCTGAAAACGTTCATATTATAAGAAACCAACAAAAGTAAAAAAGGAGCAAATAACAATAAAATTCTTGATGAAATGTTGACCTACCTGTGGCTCGGGAGAAGACAACAATAATGAATCTGGCGTTAAAGAGTCTACCGGCGACGCGTTAGCCAAATCATCTCCCAGTAGGCTGCAGTAATTATCGTTCAAAATGAATTCGTCAAACATGTCGAAGGGACTATTCTCTAGAGGTATACAAGCATCGCCAGCAGTGGGTGCCAAGTGTGTCAGATCTTCCGGCTCGTCTTTAAGCACTGTAAACAACACTAATGTTATTATCATATCAACAGCAAATGTATGGTAAAGCACTCCTGTCACATAACAGGAATCTAATATAGCAACAACGGATACCTAAGCTTTGGAAGTTCTTATGCCACTCACTTGTAAGTCCCTCGTCTTGGGAGAACATGAGATAGCCTTTGTTCATTTCTTTCTTTCGCGGAGCGAATATGAGCTCTGTGACAGGTATAGGACGTTTCTCCTCCGGATTTATGATGGCGACTATTGCGCCGTTTGGTGTGTGCTCAGATTGGTTCAAAGCCGACACTGGTGCGGGTACAGGCGCCGCTGGGGCCAGCAAGGGCTTCAAGTCCGCGTACTGCACTTGGTGTGCGGCAAACACGTCATCTTTGCACTCGATGCCACTGTGAAAACAAGGATCATGATAACACAATGTTGGCCCCACAGGCCACGGCGGCCACAGTGGGTATAAACTGACATGGTCTACAGTCAACACGTATAAACATAAATGAGATGTACGTCATACAAGTGCCTTAGTATAATGGACTATAAAGCAAACTGCACGGTCATTAGTCAAGAGAGAATCAAACATTCCAATGTTAATCGGTTTTGAATACGTGTAAAGGCGCGGGAAGTGTGAATAGTGAAGTACACAAGTACCTAGTTAGAACATCTTGGCGTCGCGGTGTAAGATATACAATAGCTTGTAATCAGTCAACAATATTCAAGGTTGACGTAGGTCTCTACACTACATGTGAGCTCGATGTCACACATTATGGTACAGATGGATAAACACTAATTTGTTTCACGTCTAGACTAGTTTCTGCCAATGGTAGTTTATGCAAGCCACATTATTCAGAACCACAAATAAGGAAAGTGTCGAAAGGATAAACTTAACATTAGCGTAACAGCTAAACTTGTTAGCACTTGGGAAAATAATGTTCTTAGAAGACACAATCGGACTATTACGAGAGATATTAATATAATAGTAAGTTTAACTGGACACGAGAACAGAAATGCTGATGAAATAAAAGTAAAAAAGAAAACATGAAAAAGATGCACTATTATTCGTACCTGAGGTAATTAGGACTGTTCGAACAATTAACATGTGTGTGTTGAAGACGTTGGAACAAATGACGAAGATATTTTTATAACACAACAAACTGCAGACGAACTGAGAGGAGAGTCATCAATCAACGCGTGCGCACTGTCCCACAGCTGACTCCCGTATGACCATGCTCTAGCGATACCTGATAACAAGATCCCACCAAAACATTGTATGTACTGATGAACCAGAATAGATAATCTGTTACGTCTCTAAACAACAATATCGAATAGACGACGAATTGATATAATTAAACAACGACTTTTGTGCGTTGCTCTGATTCAATCTCGGAAGTAATTCGATATTTTTCAGTAAGGCTTTTTATGTTCTTTTGGTTTCATTACGATAAAACCAATTATTTTAATCAGACTCATTGTAAACTGTAATAATTCAAGGTTACATAATAATAATAATAGGAACTCTACAAATATTATTTTCGTTAAACCAAAAATTATATTACGAACGTGAAATTTTCTTCTTAACCATCCACAAAAAAGTAATAATGTTCGTAAAAAGTCTTGCTTTTAAAGTCTTAAAAAGAAAATTCCCTTTTTTATTGGCAGTGAGAGCAAAGCTAAAATTATATTAACTTCCAACTGTCTAGCCGTATTGCGAAAAGTTATGGGTCGGGACAAAAGTGCTCGAAATGGGTCGAGGAAATATACCCGAGAATCCTATTTAGCGACCTTTTCTGCACAGATAGATCTTCATGGGTCTTTATTAAAGCGATAACAAGAACATATTAGGATTAATTAATGAACATCCCACGATCAGATAACCTAAAGATTGGCCCTGCGGAACATATTTGCGTCAATGATATCAAAATCAACATTGATACTGATACGCAAATACTTAGGCGATAAAATGTTGTTGACAATAGTTACGGTTCAAGTTTTCATTGACACTATAAATAAAGCCTGCGATGGAAAATTACATATATTACATACACATAATGAGCACTAATTAGTGGTAGGCAATGCTAAGTAGGCAGTAGTCACATCTAGGGATTCAGGTTTGTAGCAAAAATCTTCCAGCTTGTAAGGACGAAGCGATTTTATCAAACTTAAATTAAAATATGTTTATTTTTTCGTTACGCAACTTTTTAGTCATTATCTCGTCTCATCCACTAACCAAACAGTTATGTCTAGCATAATCACGTCACGTTCCATTATCAAATTGCGTCTGAAACTCTGAAACCAGACATAACGTTAGGCTAGACAGAAAGTGCTTGGGGAGTGTTTTTATTTAGTCCTTGCATTTACGCAATGTTTTCGAAAGTGAATTTTGTGTGAGTGAGACGGGTGGAGTGGAAATGTTTTGGGATGAAAAGAGATGTAATGATGGTAGTAACTGCGGCCTTGCAAACGACCTTGCTCCTCGCACCCCCGATCAGCCCCTTGTTTTCTCCAGACCGGCCATTCACCAGGAGTGCGAGAAGGGATGTTGCGCGCGCACCGGAGCCACGAGGTATGCCTATCGATTGAAGGCTTCAGATTCAGATCCTCCGTCTTATGGCAATCAGACACCGCCGAAATATCACCTATTTTATGTGTCTACGTTACAACGGCAGACAGATTTAATGCCGAGGAGACTATCGTAAAACCTTACGTAACGGGTAACATTTTCTTCTTACTTTAGTTTATTCGGTAGATTTATTTTTTACTAAACATGTCACGTACCCCAAATGTGCTTTACTTTCTACTAACTAGAAGTCAACTGAACAATCATGATAAATGTCACAGACTCACAATGTTTTGGTTGAATTTACAGTTGAACGGAAAACCCGTTCAATTTTATTGAAGTTAATGAATCGTTCGATAAATTACATTAAACATTAAATGAAGCTCCTTGGAGGTCTTTGGAGCAATTTTGTTTAATAATAAAAGTCGTATAAATAGGATTGTAAAAGAGAATTCATTGCTATCTCAACGAAAGCGCCATTTTTTGAAGACGATGTTTTATAGAAACCCTAATCTATTAGATAACGAGATAAGAATTCTTTACTTAATGCACCAAAATAAACCAAGATTAAGAAAAGAGATAACTGTAACAACGTTTCGTAACTGAAAAATTTTGATACAAAGAAATAGAGAACAGCTGTTCGGTAACCTTGGCCGTGATACCGTTCAATGGGCAACGCAATTCAACAATTACATGTTCCACGGTCGAGGTCGACTCGTGACGCCTAACACATCAGCCTCATTGGATATCTATTGTCTTAAATACGTTACTCCATTACAATACCATCTAAATATACCTAAAACACCGGAAAATTATAAGTTAGAATTGTAAAAGGAAGCCCGATTTTCCTGTTGATCAATTAGTCATTTGCGGACAGTGAAGTCTGAATCTTACGTGCCAGACATGGTAGACGCAAAATTGATAAATATTTGGTGATTATTCAGACGTTGATGGAAGATAAGAAAAAAATTCTCAAATAAAAAATATAATCGTAAGTCAGTACGACTTTCTAAGCCGTGCTATGGAAATTTTGAATGATAAATTGATAAAGTGCACTTTATCGAGTCACAACGCTGTGAAGGGTCATACAATTACCATAGCTCCATGTTTTCTGAGCCGACTGCGAACAATGTGTACTAAACTGCAAGTCACCAACAGAGTGGTCACTTGTTTGTTAAATCAACAGAGAAATACAAACAGAATTCCAAGCAACGACTATTGAAGCTGAAGGAGGTCCACATCCACAATGAGTAGATTGCAGCTACCGGTTATGATTCAACAATGCAAGTTATCAATTCTGTAATACATAGATCTCGGTCGTTTAAATTAAATCAAGTTTGAGTATCAGCATATCGGGCTGGCAATCGAGTAGAAGTGCGGCGCGGGAGTCAAGGCCGGCTCGGTGGCGCGCTTATGTAACCGAGCTGACGGCTGCGGGGGACGGGTACCGCTAAAATTAGCGGGTCTCACACAAACAACACACTGACAAGGCGCATCAGCGCAAACGCACTCGCTACACGCTCCGGGAATGCATTCACACAAAAATACTGAAACACACGAAAACGACCGAGCTTCACTTACTTCAGTAAACAAATAAACACTACAATATACAAGAACCTCGTGCGTTTCTTAAAATCGATATACCACCACAGCATGAAGATAGGAATCAATATTATGTAAGTAGAATGTATAGCGAGAACTGAATGCAAGAATATGGACATCGTCATCGTTTTTAATGGAAAAGTTTCGCTTTAAATTCAATCAATCGAAGACTGCGATATTATTATCGTATTGTCACAGCTTTAAACCACAATCATTTCAATGAGCGTAAATATTTCTGCTATTAAAATCGTCTATGTTTTGATTACACCACGATATAGTAAACAGGCACTAGTATGAGAACACATCCACTATTTATGCACTATTCACAGTCACTAAATATCGCACTGTTCCTTACCATGATGCGATAGGTGTATCGATGTGTTGTTAAACAAGTTTGTCTATGTTGAGAGACGCCGGCGTGTTACAGAATATACAGCGAACAGCTGATCGGGAGCGCGAGTTCGTCGGGGGCGGTAGGGTGGTCGCGTAGGGTGTACGTTTGCGTCGAAGTCTGTAGCACGAATGATACGCGCGGCGGCGGCGGCGGCGCACTCGTGACGCGGCCCACCTAAACACATACATTACAACGTCGCGCGATACCAACTGATGATAAATTTTTGAGGATAGCCGGTACGCATTCGACAGCCACGCGACTTATAATCGAGTTCACGAACCACCGGTGTTTCTAGTGGCGCCGATCACGAACAGGTTAACGCGATATCACCTTACTAACGAGTGATACCCACATGGCCGGGATGTATAGAGCTCTGATAACTGATATCCCATTCATAAAACTGCTGATAACAACTGCAAAAAGTTACCGGCATAACAACAAGCCGTATGGGGCATCTACAGCTGAGATTTTAGAAACTTAAATATAATATTTCTCAATTCCACTTAGTTATGAACGATGCCCTAGTTGCGAAAGCTAATTGAAATGCCTTCGAAGTTGTTGATCGATTTCGAATTATTATTGTAATAAGTGAAGCACTTATTTTAAGAACAATGGCTCCCAGACAGGCCAATGAACGCGACACATTTAAGCCTGGTTTATTTCCTGTTTAAATATAAGTAACATTTTGAGTGCATTAGTCCTGTTGCACTATTCATTATCGGTTTAATTACACAATCTTATTACCTTATCTTTATGCAATGAGTGTTTCAGAAAACATGCATTGCGGTTACCGAGACCTATTTAAGTTTCGTTTTGCAGCAGTAAAAAAGTCTTTTGATATA